ATATATATCTCTCTGTGTGTGTGTGTAGGGGTGTAAACGAGCCGAACACGAGCTGTTCACGAACAAAGAGTCATTTTAACGACTATAATCATGTAGCCATAAGACAATAAATGTTTGAGCAAGATTTATAAATTATTATTTATATTAAAACATCATTTCAATCTGATTTAATAATTTTTATTCTATTTTCTTAATCAATATTTTAATTGATTATAAATCTTTGTAGCCCTGTAGTCAATTAGATTTTTTTAAAATACTACTTATATATATATATAAATTTGATGAGTAGTATTTTGAGCCAAAACGGGTCGAACACGAACGAACACATGTTAGTTCGTGTTCGGCTCGTTAACTTATCGAACGAAAATAACGAGCCGAACACGAGCTTCTTAACGAGTCGAACACGAGCTGTTCGAGAACAACGAGCCATTTTGACAGCCCAATGTGTGTGTGTCTGATGCGATTCTAGACTTTTTGGTTGGCATCTGTTTTGTCAGTTATGAATCTCCTGAAGTCGAGGGTGCGATTCGATTGCTGTGTGAATCGATCGAGTGATTTGATATATGAGATTGAGGCTCGCATCATAGCGAGTAAGTAAGTCTTTTAATCTATATAGATAATTAGTTATATTTTGAATAAAATATTAAGAGGAGGATGGGGGATGGAATCTGTGGGGCCCGCGCATTATTTTTCAATCACAAATATTTTTTAGGGCACGTGCGTCTTTGTTCAACTAATGGGAACTGTGAAGGCCGAACTGAGGCCCGTGGGTTGTACGTCGCATCCGTCTTTTTTTATTAGTTGTAGTGCGGCGCCTCCATTGGTTTTAAGTTGCGGGCACACCTATAATTCTAAGGGTGCAAGTTAGTTTAATTGATTTTTTTTTTCTTTTTTTTTTTAATTCTTTTATTAAGGGCAATTCAATAAAATTTTAAAATTTTAGAATTGTGCATTAAGAAGATGAGTTCGAGATCTAACGAAGAGATTGTGAGGCCCACCAATCGGACGAGTCAAGTCAACTGGGCCAAAGTCAATCGAGTCGAAAAGTGGACAAGAATAACGACTAAGTTATCCAAGTACAAGTCATTCCGTTGGAAACGAGATGAGTGTGAATCGTTAAACTCAATGCAGTAGTCTATCCCATAATAGAGTTGGCTTGAAGGAGAAGCCAATTCCGCAAAGTAATCTCAACTGATGATCTCTTGTCATGAGTGACCAATGCTTGTAAACATGATAGCCTAAATGCAATTGTAATATATAATATCAGTATTGAAGACCTAACAAGAACTTCTGGTCTCCATAGCAATGATCACTGTAGTCCACCTACCACCACTGCTTGCTACCAAAACCACCACCCACCAATGATCACTAGCTATGATCATCGTAGCCAAAATGTAGTGGTCAATGTTAAGTGTAAAGCTATTATCCTATTTTTAGAGAATGGGTTCAACCACTAACTACAACCCATATGACCAACTACTACTATAAATGCCAACTACCGCCTTTGTCGTCAATTGAAGCTATTGCAAACACCAACAACACCTTATATGACCAACTACTGCAGTCATTAATTATGACCTAAGTAGTCAAAATACATTTTTGCAATCACCAACTATGACCTTTATGGTTAACTAATGATGTTGCAGCTTTAACTATGGCATTTGTGACCAATGTTTGCATGTGCAACAACCATCAAAGACGTTTATGACTGATTATCACTGTTACAGCTTTCAATTACAGTCTCTGTGGCCAACTATCATTATTATAGCCACCAACTATAAGCTTCAAGATTTAGCTTAAATTCTATGAAATTCAAAAATTGTTAAAACGACATTCATAAAGTTTAATAAATTTAATATCTCATCTCTTAAATTTTAAATCATTAAATAAATAGATATATATATATATATATATTTATTTATTTATTTATATATATATATATATATATAGCAAGGCAATGCTCATTAAAATAATTTTTAAGTTGATCGATGTGAAACACACCAAGTAGAACGAAACTTAAAACTTAAAACTTCAAGACCACCTTTGGCCTAACCGTTGGAATGTCACCAAAACCTCCTAAGTTAAAGCGAGCTCATATGGGATGAGTTACCTCCCACAAAATTACAACAATGGAACAAAATCATGAGACCATGAGATGATTAGGCCAAAGCCAAAAAAACATATCTTAATGGATTAGAATTCCAGCTATTACAAATAGCATCAAAACAATAAATCAATTCGAAGATAGCATTATTTGCCAGACGAATGATTATGAGTTAAGAGAAATGATGAAGACATCAGTTGGTTAAATGAGCGAAATTATGAAACTTTTTAAGTAGAATGAAACTAAACTCTTAAAAATCAAGACTTTTTTAGCGCGACTGCTGAAAATTTATCATAAACTCAAAAATTATATGTGAACGCTTGGGCTGTTACCTATTCTTTATTGTGGAACTTTCCTCCACAATTAAGTATAGAAGGAGGTTTCAATAGATGAGTGATCTTAAAATAACAATAATAACAATATCATAATTTGTTTTACACACATCATAACTAAAGAGCATAAAAGAAAATCTACTCCTACAAGCAGAAGCAATGTCTCCATTTACAAGATACAGGGAAATAAAGTTCAACCAAAACATAACAAAACATGCTAAACAAATAATATACATTCAAACACATCCCTCCTCTACTTCTCTCTAGCCTAAGAAACAAAACCATGAACAAAATACAAGGATTCTTCACCAATTTTTCACATTTATGTAACAATATTGTTTTTTAAAGTGTTAACATAGTCCCCTAACTATTTATATGAGGTCGTTTAAGTCCAAAATGCCAAATTAGTCGTCATTAAAAGAGTTTGGATACTAAATTGGATATTTTTATGAACTCTGGGACTAAAACAAGCCTCTATAAAAAAAGTCTGGCGATCATTTTGACACTTCTCTCAACTAGAAACGAAGCCAGCTCGGTCGCGACTTCGTCATCCTCGCCTCGCCATAAGCCTCGTCGTTGTCCATTCTCTTGTTGTTCCTAAATGCAGCACATGCGACGACATACACGATTACAAGGATGATGAGGATGACAACGTTGATGATCGAGACCTTCCTCCAGCTATGCCGAAGGGTTGCTAAGAGGCCGGCCTTGCACGAGTCGCACTGGTAGCAGAGCTGTTGTTGATCGTTGCTCCATCGGGTACAATCAACATCGTTCACCACCGTCGTCGCACCAGAGTTCCACATCGTCTCGTTCACGTAGGTATACCCGCAAGATGTTGGCGGTTTGCAACACCCAGACTGCAACAAGAAGGTTTGTTAGAGAATAGAAAATTAGATTGTTTCTTTAAGAATTTGATTTTCAAGGCTTGTAAAAAATTGCATAAACACTTATATTTTGGAAGATTTGCATGCATACCACTCGACTCTCATGTATTTACACATCTAACAATAAAACTGGAATTTATACACACATAACAATTATCTATGAAAAGAAACTTGTTTCGAGTGTTTTTAAAAATAATCATACCTTAATCAAATCATCAAACATGTTTTGTTTCAATTTAAAACACAAATAAAATAAAATAAAATAAAAAATAAAAAATAAAAGTGATCCGGAACTGGCCATAAACAAATGTTCTAAAAGTATCTTTCAAAGCATGTTGATGACATGATCAACTCCAGTTTTAAAAGCACGGCACTAGCAGAACAGATTCGCTGAAAGGATACTGGAATGAGAACTAAACTTTAGAACAATTACATAAATTGCACTCAAAACATTGTTATTTACAAATCTATCACCCTCAACCATTTTTCAAATTCTCACTCAAATATTGAAATTCACGATAGAACCCCAACCCATGTTTTTCATTTTTATCAAATTCTCAATGGTTTGATCTTTGGCATGCATAAATGCATCGGTTCAGTAGCTCAAAAAAAAAAATTTACATGAGCGCTAGTTTTGTAAATAACAATGTTTTGAGTGCTATGTATGTAACTATCCCAACTTTAATGTTATAGTCATTGATAAGAACTACTCCACTGATCAAAAATCACATTCTGATGAAATTCAGAAGACAAAAAGTTTGAGTTTCAAATTTCTGAACCACATTTAGAATTACTTCACAGTATATGCTTTCAGCTTTATCTCATTCCTACAAAAGAGATGGGAACCACGAAAAGAAAATATAGGGAAAGGAAATGGTCCTCCACTTCTACATCTTTATGTAAGAGCTCAGTCTGCTAGAATAGAAGATATTTCCCATTTTGAAGGACACAAAGGAGCAGGATCTGAGGGATTTAATATTTGGAAGATTTTGCATACATACCACTCAATTTTTATTTATTTACATGTCTAACAACTAAGCTTCAGGTATATGCTACCTTACTTGTGCGTGATAAGGTGTATTTCAGTTTTTAAAAAGTTAAAATAGTGAAATTTTTGATGTAATATGAATGATATGGGTGGTGTAAATGTAAAAGGCAAAATTTAGGTGTTAGATATGTAACATAACATAGAAATTGGGTGGTGAGTATCTAAATCCCCGTTGATATTTTTATGGGTGATGATGCTGAAGATTGAATTAGAAGTAGGGAATATTTATTATTTATAAATCATATTTACGAATGTTTGGTCAGAATATTATGATAAAAAAAAAAATCTATATTGATAGGATAATTATTTCATGAAAAAGAAAGTGGGTAAAATTTTTACTATCTTTAGGATTTATCTTTAATTTTCCTGTTTTTTTTTTTCATTTCCCTTTTTTCTTCCACACCATTTTCTGCTCAAAACTAAAGAACTTTTGGCTTGACTTTTGCGATAACAGACACGTGTACAAAGGAGATACCTTTGCTTCTTTCAACTTAGGGTGCATTTATTTCGGTTGTAGCTGTATGAAATCTCAGTTCAAAAACTATTGTAAAATATCTAACATTTAAAAACTTGTGTTCCAGAAGCAGCAGTTCTGTTTGAAAAATTCAATTTTGAGAGTGTTGCAATTAGCGGGGTAGGGGCGCCAACGTAAGCAGCTCGAAAGCGCCCATATGTCGAGAGAGTGCATCGCATGACATTGAGGCGTTGCAGTAAGCAACGCAGATGCCCCCAAATAATGTGGGGGTGTTGCAGTGAGTGGGGTTGGGGCACCCATAGGAGCGCGGTCGAGCCGCATCCGAAAACACGTTCTGAAGGGCGAATGTGGGACGCCAAGCGCGGTCCGTGATATTGAGAAATTTGGGTCGCCGTTTTATACCGCAATCCATGGACACGCGATCCACAAACACAGTTCAGAAATCTGTCCGAAACGTTATCCCAAACACACCCTTATTCCATAACTCTGCCTCTCTTCGTTTAGATCTTTAATAAGAAGTCAACTAAATAGAGAGATTTTTCTATGAGCTTAGTTTAAGCAAAATTATTGCCCAATTATTATTATTATTATATCTACTAATTTAATACCATTATTAATTCTAACACAGTACAAATACAGATAAATAATAATCACAATAACAATCATTAGCTTAGGAATTTTCTTGAGCTAAGGTCATAGAAGAGTCTCATAACTAAGTGATGCAATGCAACTATGGTTTTTTTTTTAATTTTTTGTGAAGTAAAATAATACAAATAACTTAGAAGGTAAACAAGAACAAAAGGAATCCTACTACTCTCTCTCACTCTCTCATTACATATACATAGATATATTAGAAAGTCGAAAATATGTTGATGTAGAAAATATCAACTAGTTGACTTCTATTCATAAGTTTAAGTTTTTAGGATAAAAATATGTTTGATCAATAGTATATGTTGCCCAACTTATTTCCATTTGAGAGATAGGGATGATATATGTGGAGAGCTCTCAAATGAGTGAATATATTGTTAAAAGACATGAAATTTTAAGTTTAGTCCCACATCAAACAGTTAGAAATTAAGCGGTTCACCCTCAATCTCAAACTCAGGTTTTGGAATAAGAGACGGGTAGATCTATAGGTAAACGATTCGTATATACCACTTAATTCCTATGTTTTTACATATTAACACCTAAACTTTGCTTTTTACATCTATACACACCAAAATCTTACATATCACATAAAAAATAAAACAACTAGTTTTAACTTTCAAAAAGCAAAACACACCTTCTAACGCATACATAAGGACATGTGAATGTGAAAAATTGAAGTTTTAGGTGATATATATGTAAATACATAAAAATTGAGTTAAATGTATGTAAATCTTCATTTCATCTACAGATTCATTGAATAATCTTAACAAGAGACATGGAAACAGCTATGCATTTGCTAGCATCAGCTAACTTGTTATCTGATTAAACGCAGGGAAGAAGACGAACAATATAACAGAGGTAAAGATTCCACCAAACATCAGAAAACCAATTCACAGCAATCTCAAACCAAAATGGAATACCAAGATTCATAAAAAATCAGAAAGAGGAAAGAAAGGAAGCGGAGAGAAATCCACTGACCTCAATGGGGGAAAGCTGTCGCTGATAGAACATATCGGGAGGCTCCGGATAGATCATCCCCGTCGCCGTATCTCGAACTCGCCGGCGCATTCCAGAGCAAGCATGAGAGTCTCGAAGGCAGGAACTGATCTTAGACCAGTACTTGGGATCACTAACCCTATTTTTAAGCCAGCCGGAGTAATCCGAGAGCTGGTACTCCGGAAAGGCGCGGTTGACGATAACCTGGCCGTGGCCTCGATCGGTGACGGCGAAAGCGAAGACGATGAAGCCGATTAGGGCTGCGAGGACGAGGAACATGACGACGAGGTAGAGCTGGAGGAGCCAGGTCTGGCGATAGCAGGCGCCGATGAAGCCCATTAGAGAGATCACCATGATGGTGATTCCGATGACGATGATGGGCCATTGGAGGAAACGAAGGCACTCGGTGCTGTTCGCGCGACTGCTGAGCCAAATCCCGCCGCCGAGAATCGGGATCGAGGCCAAGAAAGTGAGGAAATTAATGGCTCCGATGAGGTTATTAGGGCCCTTCATCGTCTGCTTCGATCTTTGTTAGCTCTTTTAGCTGATTTCTAGGGCTGGTTGTGAGGGGGAGAGGGGGAGACAATTTTAGGAATAAAGAAAGAAGATGAGTAGATTTGTAGTAAGCTCCGACTGAGGATAGTGGAACGGAAGATAAAAGCGGGATTTTTATATTTTTGCAAATATACCAACCAATTCTTATCTATTTGCATAAATAACCTCAATTTTCTTCTTTTATATATAAATTCACTCAAATTTCTCATGTTATATAACGAATATCCTTTATTTTAGCTTTTAAGAAGTAAAATATATTTTTATCATGAATATGTAAAATAATATATATATATATATATCTGTGTGTGGCGCGAATGATCTGGCGTATTGGTGTGACCTCTGACGTAAGTCCCTCGAGTCGGGGGTTCGAATTCCGTGCGGACTCTTCGAATAAGAAGCAAGCACACCAGGGTTTTCAATCGATATTTGGTGCCCACTGGACCAAATATCGATTTCATCATATACGTGTGTGTGTAAAAATTGAAGTTTTGGGAGTAGATATGTAAATAAGTAAGAATTGAGAAGTTCTATGTAAATCTTATTAAATATTAATAAAAATAAAGAAAAAATAAAATGGAGTTTTTTTTTTTTTTTTTTTCAAATATGTTATGCGCCTTCTTTGATATACAAATAAACATTTCCAATCTTATATTTAAAATTTAGTGTTTAAATTTATATTATCCAAAATTTTTATATGTTATCATATTAAAAATATCATTATTTTAATTTCTTTTTAGAAAAAAAGAACAATTACATGAAGACCATAAAAATCTTGTTATTTACAAATCAACTACCTTATTCTCACTCAAAATCAAAATTCATGATAAAAATTCAATCCACATTTTTCATTTTTAATAAATTTTCAATAATTTGATCATGACAGACATAAATACATTGTTCGATTGTTCAATTAAATCACTGATTAATTTGTAAATATTAATGATCTGCATTTACTTATCCCAAAAAAAAATAAATGTTTTCGAACATAAATAAATTATTATATTCGTAAAATTTAAAATTTATCGCTTGGGGGCTATCTCGTAACAAATTTAGAGCGAAATTTAACTTGAATGTAGGCTAAATCTTGCCCTGCCATTTTAGACAAAATAAAATCATGAAATCATAAATTTGAATATGATATTTATATAAAACTTCCTATTAATCAAAGCACAAGAACATACTAATCAACCAAAAAAATGGAATTTTTAAACCCCTCAACCGAACCGGGAAGCTACTCCCGGCGATGCGCAGCTCCGATCTCCGGCGATGGATCGCCAATATCAGCCGCTCCTCTCGCCGGAATTCCCACGAAGAAACCCTCCTCCTCTTCCGCCAAATGCAAACAGAAGGCTTCCCCCCCAACCGCTTCATCCTCCCCACCCTCCTCCGCTCAGCCTCCAATCTCTCCGATTCCATAACCGGCAGATCCCTCCACAGCTCTTCAATCCGATCCTCACTAACCTCCGATCCCTTCATCTCCAGCTCCCTGATCGATTTCTACGTCAAATCCGGCCGTCACGCCGACGCACGGCGCGCGTTCGACGAAGCGCCGATCAGAGATTCGGTCGTCTGGAACTCCATCATCTCGGGATACGCTTCGCGGGGATTGATCGAAGAAGGTATGTTGTTGTTCCGAGAGATGCAATCTAGGGGTCCGAAACCTGATTTGTTTACTTGGAATTCTCTGATTTCTGGGTATGCGCAATCCGGCGATGAACAGAACGCTCTGAAGCTTTTTGATTCGATGAGATTTAGCGGAATTGAAGCTGATGTGGTCTCTTGGACGTCGATTATTTCCGGTTTAGTTCGCAATTTCAATTACAGAAAGGGTTTTGTGTTTTTCCGGCGAATGGTGGCGGTCGCCGGAGTTCGGCCGAGCTCCGCCACGATTAGCAGTTTGCTACCAGCTTCGGCTAATGTGATGGATCTGAGGAGAGGTAAAGAGATTCATGGATACGCCATTGTTAGCGGTTTCGAACGAGATTTATTCGTCAGCAGTTCGCTGATCGATATGTACTCTAAGTGCGGGGTCATATCCGACGCCGACAGGGTGTTCGATGAAATGCCCGTGAAGAACACGGTTTCCTTCAACTCCATGATTTTCGCTCACGCAAATCATGGCCGCTGTGAAAAAGCTATAAAACTGTTCTACCAGATGAAAATCTATGGCTTTTTACCTGATCATCTAACCTTCACGGCTGTCTTAACAGCTTGCAGCCATGGCGGAAAGGTGAAGTTGGGGAAATATTTGTTCAGATTTATGCAAGAAAATCACCAGATTGTTCCCAGAATGGAGCATTATGCTTCCATGGTGGATCTTCTTGGGAGAGCTGGTAAGCTTTTGGAGGCTCATGATTTGATTAATGAGATGCCGATGGAGCCGGATTCGTTCGTTTGGGGAGCAATGCTCGGGGCCTGTGAAATCCATGGTGATGTCGGGCTTTCGGAGATTGCTGCGAGGCGTTTGGGTGAGCTCGAGCCGGCGAGTGGTGGGAGATTATGCCTTCTGGGTAGGGTAATGGCTAGTGCAGGTAGATTGGGGGATGCAGAGAGGATGAAGAAGGTGGCGAGGAAGAAGAGGTTGAGAAGATATTTGGGATGTAGTTGGACACAAGTGTAGTTGGTTAGGTTGGAAGATTTACATAAATACCGCCCCCATTCTTTTGCATTTACATATTTAACACCGAAACCTAAAACCGACAACAGATTCGACCTAAAAGACAGTCTTGGCTCAAGTTCAACTAGTTCATTTCAGAACACATCAAAGATTTACATACCACTTGATTCCTATATATTTAGGTATCTAACATGTAAAATTTAATTTTTTTACATACACATCATCTTACCTGTGCATGAAAAGGTGAGCTTTAGTTCTTAAAAGTTTAAAAAATGATACTTTTAGGTGTTAGATGTATAAATACATTGGAATTAGGTGGTATGGATGTAAATGTCAGACCACAGCAAACATTCTCAAGTATGTGAGTAAAACAAAAAAAGGCCTTGCACATTAATAAAAATTGAAATAGGACAAATATCCATGGCTGTTTTCAGTGTAAAAATGGCCATTTTCTCCCCTCTGAGTACAAAATATTCATACCTTAATATTTTCAGTACAGCCAAGGTCAAATTTCCTTAGTTCCATAGAAATGGGATAGAGCCAAAAGTTCCCAAATCCCTGAATTGCTGGAAGTTCTGCAAAAGTTTTAGGATTTTAAGAAACTCACTTTGAGCTCTTCTTCCATAATCCTCCAAGCTTCCTCACCACACTGCTGCTCTTCTTCTCCGGCAAATCATCATCAAACTCGTCGGAAAAAGGCGGGTTCGTCAGCTTACCAGAGATGGAGTAGTTCTCAGAATCCTCAGCCAATCTTCCATTGTTTCCAGGCATGAGAATTTCTGAAGCAGCTTCGGCTGCCTTCCTCCATTGATCTGAATGCACCTTAAGCCTCTTCAGCTCAGCTTCTATTCCCAAGTTCACAGCCTTAGCTTCTTCCAGCTGCTCTAAAACCTTCACTGCCCTCTTGCTGCTCTTTTCTGCTGCTTCTTCTTCAAGATCTGTTCTTTTCAGTGCTTCCTTCTCTGCAGCCCATGCTTTCTGAGCATCAACAATGGCTGCATTATATTTAACTTGATGTTCACTTTCTCTCTTGGTGAGCTCTGAATTCAGTGTTTCATTTTCTTCCAATATGGCTTGGAGAGCTGTGTTCTTCTCCAAGAGGTTTGCTTCCAGCTCTGTAACTTCTATTGTAGCCTTTATCAGCTTCAACTCAGTCTCGACTCGGTTAGACTCACCATTCTTCATTTCCTCTTTCAGCTCCTTGTTCATCCCCAATATTCGGCTGACTTCCCTTTGCATATCGATCAATCGTTCTTTCAACTCCGAAAGTTCAATTTTTGCTTTCTCTGTGGTTGATTCTAGTTCTGATTCTCTCAACCTCGCATTGAACTTTGTAAGCTCAGCAGCTTCATATGCAGACTGGATTTGAACTTTCGTTCGAATTTGCTCGTCGTGTCGCTTCGCTTCGACAAATTTAAGAGCGGATTCCAACTGCTTCAATTCGAATTTTGAAGCTTCAGATTCGAGCTTGCACGAAGGATTTGTTTTTTCGACTCGATCATCTTCTTCAACTTTCTGATATTCTGTTATGATTTCTTCAAGAGCGCCAATTCGAATTTTAGATTCTTCGAGCTTGGATGTTAGAGAGTTCATGGACTCGAATAGATCGGAATTATCAGCATGAAGAGTCATGATGGTAGCATTAGAGATTTCTAACTGTTTCTGGGTTTCAGAAACAGTAAATTTTGCTGCTTCTTCAGCCAACTCTCTCTCCCTGTACTGAGTTTTAAGTTCCTCAATGACGGACAGAGTGTCTGCCATTTCTTCCTTCAAGGTTTCGAGTTCACATTTCATCGTTTCAGACTTGTCAGCATGAGCTGCTTCTGATTTCGAAACATTGAGCTGCTGCTTGAGCATCTGAATCTCATTCATGGTGGCCGAGAGGGCGGTTGAGACGACTGAGTGCTGTTTCTGGAGGGCCTCGAGCTCTTTCTGCCATGCCTTATCCCGTTCCTGGGAGACCTCACGAAGTTCCTCGAGTCGATTTTCTTCAGCAGTGGAAAGCACCAACAACTGTAACTGTGATTCCTCAAATTTTTCCGACTTGGCGATGAGCTTTCTCTCGGCTTCATCAGCTTCCTGCTGTAGCTGCTGCTTTGATGATTCAGATGAGCTCAGATGTTCCTTCATCTTCTTCAGTTCCTCTTGAAGCAGAGCGAACTCGGATTTTAGCTCACTTGATCTGCTTAGTCGTCTCTTCTGGAAGCAAAATGGTTTAAGGAGTTTATTCAAGGAAAACTTACATGGGTAGCACATAATTCTTATGTATTTACATGTCTCACATCTCAACTTTCATTTTTACATACATAGCATTTTGCTGCTTGAAATCTATGCATAAAAATATGTATTTCACTTTTTAAAAGTCGTAAAGGTGCTATTTTTAATATGATATTAAAGCTTTAATTGATACGTAAATATGAAAATTTTGAACTAAAATGAAAGTTTAGGGGAGAGATATGTAAATACATGAGACTTTTGAACTATGTAAATGCCCATAATTTTAATGAACTGCAATCCTAAACGGATGAAAGTGCATGTAAACAGATGTTTGGAGAACAATATTGTTTATCAAATACACCCTATAAATTCTGGTAATCATCAAACCGACCCTAATACATCAAGCTATAATGGGTAATGGATAGAGTCTACTACATCTCATTCGTAGGATCTTCATTATTTGGCTTTATTCAATAAAGTCTAATGTTAGTTGCTTGATGACTTTGCCCACCATAAAACGAAGTTGAAAATGGTTTTAACGCTCGGATTAAAATTCTCCAACTGGATTGGAGCATAGAATTTTAATTCAATTATTGTGATTAGGCCTACTCGGCTTGCATTGTCAAATTTCCTATGGGAAATTTACATACGCAATTCTTATGGATTTACATATCTAACCCCTAAAGATTGATATTTTGCATTTATAACATCTTGGTGTTACAAATCTATGCATAAAAAAGATGCATGACTTTTAAAAAGTTAATAAAATGATTTTTTTTTTCTGTGTGATATTAAATACTTGAGTATTATTAATGTAAATATTGAAGTTCAGGTGTTAGATAAGTAAATCCATAAGAATAGTGGGGTAAATGTGTAAAACATATTTGTTTAGCAAATTTTTTACATGCCTTTATTTTTTATTTCTACAAACAAAAAAAAAAACATTATTTTGAAAACACTTTGAACATCTTTTAAGTGTTTTGAATGTTTTCAAAAACAATCATATCTTAATCAAACATGTTTTGTTTCAAATCAAAACAAAACAAAACAAAATAAAAACAAAAAATTAGAAAATAAAAAAAAAAAGTGATCCCAAATGGCTCCTTGGGGGTTTCTAGATGCCTTTGTCTCCTAAATTCATGCTTGCATGTTAACCAAATTTGTACTTTAAAATGCATGATCTCAGCTCTACTATAACAATTCTAACGGCTACTTTTATTTTATATCACCACAAGCCAGTTGTATATATCACGTGATACTCTTTTTTATGCATATTATTTTTTTAATTTTAAGGCAGAATCTTCACATTTAGGTCAATACCTACTTATATTTTAATTCATCTCATCTAGCTATCATTTGTTAATCTCTTTGTTGATAAATTTTAGAGGGAGTTACATATATGAATACACCACATAATTCTTAGATATTTACATATCTAACATCTAAGTTTTCATATTAGCACTCAAATCTTTAACATTACATAAAAAATATCACTAATATTAACTTTTCTAAAGTGAAATGCATATATTTTTTATGTGATGGTGACATGGGTGGTTGGTGATGTAAATAGATAAGATTGTGTGGTTTCTATGAATATTATCATTGATAGGAAAATGGGTGGAATTCAGTTTAACAAATTCATAAAAAACTAGATCTTCAATTTTGAATTATTATTGCAAGATTTTCTCTTTGTAGATAAATTTTACAGGAATTACATATATACTTATGTATTTACACATCCAACATCTAAATTTTGATATTTAGGTATGTCGCACTCATATGCTTAACATCACGTCAAAAATACCATATTTACTAGCTTTTTTAAAGTAAAATATACATATAAATGCATAAATTTATAACACCGAAGTAACATAAATGTAAATATCAAATTGTGCTATATGTAAATGTTCCTTTATTTTATCATGAATAGCAGCATCTCAGCAACAGAAATTTGTGTTTGCCATACCTCAATGTCTGGGCTTTTAGGCGACCGGCGATCGATAATCTTTGGGCTTCTCTCGGTCGAGGAATTTGAAGGTGTGATCTTCGAAGCGGCTGGGTCAATTTCAGATCGAGATGTTTTAGATGCTCGAGATGATTTAGGCGTGGTTGGAGATGTCTTAACAGGAACTTTTGATGACCCATTCCTGATTCAAGCACCCAATTGGGTTATAATATGAACAATGATTAAATAAGATTAGGCATAAATAATCAACTCAAATTATGGTAAAAAATTTTTAGTTATTTAAATTCCATGATGAAATTGTTTAAGTGTATGAAGGCTTAACCTTGCGTTTCCTTGAGCTTAAAAAAAGATCACTTTCCTTATTTAGCAGTAAAATCAGACTAACAAAGAACTATTCCAGATTACAAAAAAGAAAGATTTATAAACATACCACTCAATTCTTATGTATTTGCATATCTAACACCTATTACTTCAATTTTTTTACATGCATATCACTTTAACTGTGCATGAAAAGGTGTCCTTCAGTTTTTAAAAGTAATAATGGTGATATTTTTTATGTGATATGGCATAAATGTTGAAAGTGAAGTTTAAGTGTTAGATATGTAAATAAATATAAATTGAGTGGTATTCATGTAAATGCCCCTTAAAGAAAACATATGAGGTAACACAAATGAAACATTAGAGTAAACACTGCTTCCACTGGATGCTTTAATGAAAAGAAATGGTTTGAAGAAAAATGTAGATTCAATGTCATCCATAATTTGAAGAGCGTAGTGCCAAAAATAGTCCCTCGATTATTTCCATGAGATCATTCTAATCCCAGTGTAAATATCGACCTTTGGGTGTTAGATATGTAAATACATAAAAATTGTGTGGTATGTATATAAAATTCCAAAGATTAAATGATGCATGACTCATAAGCATAACACCTATAACATAAAAGCGCTCATCAGTATGTTTTGCATTACATGTGACAACTAGCTTAGTTATTTCCAAAGTCCTGAGATCCAAGCCCATCTACATCAAAATATGCTACATTAATCTAACATTTCTAAAAAATAGGAGCAATTACATCGACTCGACACCCTCTTTCATCCATTTTTCAAATTCTCACTCAAATATCAAAATTCATAGTAAAACCCCAATCCATATTTTTCATTTTTATCAAATTCTCAAAGTTTGATCATGGCACCCATAAATACATCGATTCGGTAGCACAAAAACAAATCGTGTGTGGTTAATTTGCAAATATCAATGTTCGGATGGTCTGCATGTAATCATCCCATGAAAAAAACATGGCCTACTCTACAAGATGTTAGCACTAAATGAATTTTCTTTAATTTCCATCTCATATATATATTTTTATACCCCCAACAACAGAGATCAAAAGAAAATTAGAGAAAATAATAAAGGACATATTGGACATAAATTTAAATATATTGAAAATTTAGAAGAATCGCAGAGATGGAGTGGAGAAAGACTTTGTTTTGGATGCCAGCATGTTATCTCACTGTCAACTGATGAGGTTCCTCCCAAACTGCAGAAACAACAACAAATAGTTCAAAATTCAGAGTCCAGCGAGAGAGAGAATAAAAAAATAGATGTCTTTCAGCAAAGTGTTGCATTTACATGCATAGCATTTTTTTACATTTATGCCACCCGATATGGCATGTATGTAAAAAGATAAAGTATAGGTGTTAGAAATGTAAATACATAGGAATTGAGTGGTATGTATGTAAATCTTCCAAAAAAAAAATAATAATGTTACTTCATTTTCCTTGTTCTGCCTACTATATAGTAATAGAAAAGTACAGAGATTATGCACCAACTCTCTAATTTTCTATTCACCTAACCTTACTAAACTTCTGGTACCCGTACTTTATAAAATGCCAAGATCAACCTTCCAGCATGTAATGAAATTAATGGTTGAAATGTCTAGCTTAAGTTCTAAGAAAATGTTAAAAAAAAGGTGAATTTACATAAATACCTCAATTCTCAGGTATTTACCCATCTAACACCTGAGCAATCATATTTGCATGCATATCACTGAAATCCTTCACCTCACATAAAAAAATGCCACCATCACCATCTTTGCAAAAGAAAAATGATCCTTTTCATGCATAGGTTTATGCAATAAGATGTTATAGGTGTAAATATCAAATTTTGGGGGTTAAATATGTAAATAAATAAGAATTGTGTGGCATGTATGTAAATTTTCCCTAAAAAAAAATATTGTTTAATATTTATAAATTAATGATGAATGGGGATAGAGAGTGTAATCCTGGAAATAAAGGGCAAAGAAATGTTTTTTGGAATTAGAAAAGAGATTATAAAGATAAAGCTAAAGTTTGTCCAGATTCTAGCATGGTTTCTTTTTTTATTATTATTAATTTAGCTCAAGTTAAATTTAAATTTAGGAAGATTTACATACATACCACTCAATTCCTATGTATTTACATATCTAACACCAAAACTTAGATTTTTACATGCATACCACCTTAACTATGCATGAAAAGGAGATGAGTGGTATATACATAAAAAGTGAGGGGCTTTTACATAACCACCCAAAACCCACCTAAACTTAAAATTTACATCTCAACCACCCAAAATTTTATTTCCTTTTGAAACGGAAGTGATCAATCCATTATATTTAAAGTTTAGGGTCGTTTTTGGGCGGTCAATCTGTTATATTTAAAATTTTGGGTGGTTGATATGTAGAAACCCAACAAAGTAAGGGGCTTTATGTAAATACATAGTATTTTGGTGATATGTATGTAAATGCCCCTAAAATTTACTTGAAAATAATCTATTTAATAAACTTGAAAATAATCTATTTTCTATTTACCTAACCTTACTAAACTTCTGGTACTCGTACTTTATAAAATGCCAAGATCAACCTTCCAGCATGTAATGAAATTAATGGTTGAAATTTCTAGCTTAAGTTCTAAGAAAATGTTAAAAAAAAGGAGAATTTACATACATACCTCAATTCTCAGGTATTTACCCATCTAACACCTGAGCAATCATATTTGCATGCATATCACTGAAATCCTTCACCTCACATAAAAAAATGCCACCATCACCATCTTTGCAAAAGAAAAATGATCCTTTTCATGCATAGGTTTATGCAATAAGATGTTATACATGTAAATATCAAATTTTGGGCATTAAATATGTAAATAAATAAGCATTGTGTGGCATGTATGTAAATTTTCCCTAAAAAAATATTGTTTAATATTTATAAATTAATGATGAATGGGGATAGAGGGTGTAATCCTGGAAATAAAGGGCAAAGTAATGTTTTTTGGAATAAGAAAAGAGATTAAAGTTTGTCCAGATTCTAGCATGGTTTCTTTTTTAATTGTTATTAATTTAGCTCAAGTTAAATTTAAATTTAGGAAGATTTACAAACATACCACTCAATTCCTGTGTATTTACATATCTAACACCAAAACTTAGATTTTTACATGCATACCACCTTAACTATGCATGAAAAGGAGATGAGTGGTATATACATAAAAAGTGAGGGGCTTTTACATAACCGCCCAAAACCCACCTAAACTTAAAATTTACATCTCAACCACCCAAAATTTTATTTCCTTTTGAAACGGAAGTGATCAATCCATTATATTTAAAGTTTAGGGTCGTTTTTGGGCGGTCAATCTGTTATATTTAAAATTTTGGGTGGTTGATATGTAGAAACCCAACAAAGTAAGGGGCTTTATGTAAATAGATAGTAATTTGGTGGTATGTATGTAAATGCCCCTAAAATTTACTTGAAAATAATATATTTAATGTGAATCTCCCTCCCTCCCCACATTAAATAGATTATTTTCAAGTAAATTTTAGGGGTAATTACATGCATAACACCTTACCTATGCATGAAAAGTATATGAAAGGTAAGAATGTAAAAAAGAGAAGTTCAGGTCTTAGATATGTAAATACATAGGAATTGGGTGGTATGTATGTAAATGCCCCTATAATTTACTAGAAAATAATCTATTTAATGTGATTTTATTGATTCATTCAAGACTAGCTTCACATGACGCTGAAAAAAAAAAGTTCCATAAACAGAGAATTTTTGCTAAAACGTTAAGAAAGAAAACTAGGTTTCAGCTCCAAGGTACCGGAAGCATTTATGGCATTTATGGAAACCAGGAAGAAAATGGATAATGGAAAAAAAATGAAGATAAAATAAAATAAAACAACATGAAACTAAACAAAACAAACGAAAACCAACTGAAATCTGCAAAACTCGGATCACAGATCGACATAATTTTTTTTAAGAAACTAAGCAGAATCAGAAATAGCAATGATACTAAAATGCAAGAGAGGAAGAAAGGACTTCTGCTCTATTGAAGTTCTTCTTCATGGCAATACAGCAAGAATCTCATGATTCATCCATCTGACAAACTTCTACAAACAGAGAGCACTAATGATCCCATGCTTGCCTTCATTAAAAATCCGCAGAACAGAGCAAATCCAGCAGAAAAAGGAGGAGAAAAACTGAAAAACTTACCCTAACTTATCAATGGCCGGGGGTCTCACAGCGACGACTCCCAGTCTTCTTTTCTCAAGCTCCCGATCCCTTCCAGTAGAGATAGTAAGAGAGAGAGAGACAGGGTTTACTGTGGAGTGAAAAGAGGGAAAGGGGAAAGGAATCTTATCTCGGCATTAGGGTTTCGTTTGATCTCTGCGCAGGATTCTGCGCGCGAGAGTTACTAATTGAAGCTTGAAGCGCGCCTGTTCGAGACGAAAGAGGTTCTGCTCACCAACGGTGAGCCGATACAAACTGAACTTGCCATGTGAGTCGGGTCACAAACTCTGAAGTTAACTTTCTGTCTTCCTTAATTTTTAGCAGGGGCATTTACATAAATACCACCCAACATTTTCCCGTATTTACATATCTATACCTGCACTCTACTTTTATGTAATAACACCAAAAAAAAGAAGAACATATACACAGAAACTGAAGTTTAGTGTACATTTGGTGTGTCAGTTTCATTTGTTTGGGTAAACTGAGCTTTGACAGTTTTTTCAAAAACTATCGCTAAAATCTGTGTTTTTTCATTATTTTTTAGCGATCTGATTTTAAAAAAATAATAATAATTTTATAATAGTCACTGTAGCTTTTTGAGAATCAGATTATTATTAAGAACTTCACAGTTGTTTTTTAATAAGCTGCAGTTGCCCAAAACAGAACATTATATGTAATTCTTCGTTTCATAAAAGTAATAGTAATAATAATTTTCTTAAGAAAATTAAAGTAGGTATTTGTTCTCTTAAATAAAAATTATCCCATTAATTATTATTAGTTTTTAGGGATGTTTACATGCATCGAAACATTATTACATATTGTCACTCAAATATCAAAATTCATGATAAAATAATTATTACACCCTAATATATAAGAAAACTAAGAGATTTAAGTCAAATGATGACAGATGAGTAGGGGTGTAGACGAGTCGAACACGAGCGAGTCTAGGTTCAGCTCGTTTGCTTAGCGAGCCGAATATGAGCCATTCACGAACAAAGAGTTTTTTTGATAACCCTAATCACATAGCCATAAGATTTTAATGATTGGGGCAAGATTTGAAACATCATTTGAATCTAATTTAATAATTTTTATTTTATTTTCTTCATTAATACTTTTAATTGATTATAAATCTTTAATACTTTTAATTGATTATAAATCTTTGTGACCTTGTAGTCAATTAATTTTTTTAATCAAAGATATATATATAAATAAATAAATAAATATATATATATATATATATATGAGCCGAACACGAACGAACAAATATTTGTTTGTGTTGGTCATGTTCGGCTTGTTAACTTAGCGAACGAGCCGAACATGTGCTTCTTAACGAGTCGAACACGAGTTGTTCGCGAACAGCGAGACTTTTTGACAACTCTACAGATGAGGTTTTAGACTGTAATTGAGACTGAACATAATTTATTATTTAAAAAAATAAATATTTGAAACTTGAGTGATGATGTGGAGGCATTATAAGTAATATTTGGTTTATAAATAATTTATTTTGACTTTGTTTTTTCTTTGAAATTTATAAATTTTGTATTTCACTAAAGAAATGTGCATTTACATGCATGCCGCCCAATTCTCATGTAAAGAATTTAAGTTTAGGTGCTAGATTTGTAAATAAATAGGAATTAATTTGTATGAATTTAAATATTTCAATAGAAAAAGGCTTTTTTGATCTTATATATAGTATGATATAAATCCTCCCTCGTAGTTTATGACACTAATAATGTCCAAAGAACCTGTTGAATTTGACCAGACTACAGTTGATTGGCTCCAATCGGGCCTCTCTATCAACTCAGTCAGCCAACTCCAATCAACTCTCCATCACCCAACTCAAGTCAATCCTCTATGGTTAGTTAGTTCTAGTAGTTCATCTCCAGTCGGTCAGCTTCAGTCGGCTACAGTTAGCTAGTTTAGTTGGTCCTCTCCAGTTGGTCGGCTTCAATTACCCCACTCCAATCAACCCTCTCAAGCTAGCCAAGTGGGTCAGCTCCAATTGACCCAATCAGTCAGATTTATGCGATCATCTCGAATTGTCCAACTCCAATCAACCCAATAAGCCCTCTCTAGTTGGCCAGCTTCAGTCAACCCAATCAACCATCTCCAATAGACCAGCACCAGTCGATCATCACCAACCAATTGTATAGGACAAGGGGTGTAACTATCATTTTATAATAACTCGTCTCCTATAAATAGAGAATCATTATTTTTATTAGGGGATAAAAAACCTAATTTAAAAACATTATATTCTAAGAAATTTCTCTCTCTCTCTCTCTCTTTATTTACGCCCTATTTCTTTTGCAGACCCATGGATAATTTTAGATTCAACACTCTAAAAGATGCATTGAGCATGGATTATGACACAAACAAGAAGAGAAGCAGCACAAAAAGAATAACTTAGTCATAGATAAGTGACTAGCAACTTATAATGCATTAAAAAATTCACCCAAAAAATAGTCAAAATCATCCTATCGGCCTCCTTCATTTGGCACCTCCGCGCGGCCTCCTCTACCCAATAATGTGAATTTACTCATAAGACTTGGGAAACTTGCCTCTCATAAGTTAGTTTCTAAAAGTAAAAGGAAAATAACATATATTTTTGGACCCTACTTAGCTTAATTGTCGAATGCTAGGGATGACTTTGAACAAGCTCTGTAAAAAATATAACTTGATCCAATAAAGAATGAAGCCAATCAAGCTAGGGTTGAAGATCACAAGATCTTACCATAGGTAAAGTTGAAAAATTGCATAGACTACTTCCTAAGGAGAGTTACAACCCCTAGGCGACGGGTAGTTCGAATTTAACGAAACTACTTGAATTTCTTTATAACCGAGTCATATTAAAATGAAATAATCAATCTAGTTGCACAAAAAGAGGAGACTCATTTTACTGGTAACACTTCAATAATTCTTTGTATAAAACCAAGTCAACTGTGATAATGATGAGTTATCAATCTATGAGACTACTCCTTAAAGGTAAGCCAAAATGCCCCCTTGACAAAATCCTATATGACTCCTAAGAGTCCCAGGCAGAAGAATAGTCGACACGTAGAGATATGCTGCTTAATTTTTACTAGTTTCATATTCATCATTCTCTTATTCCTTCACACATATCTTTCAAAGGAATAAGAGAATCGAGAAACTAAATGTATGACTTAAATCATCCTTCATAGTTTAAGGCATTGAGATTCTACAAAGAATCAGCTGAATTTGACTAACTCCAGTTGGATAGCTCTAGTCAACCCTCTCAAATCGAACCAGTTAGCCCTATTTAGTAGGCCCAGTTAGCTAACTCTAGTCGGCCAGCTCCAATCGACCCTCTCATGTTGGGCCCAGTTAGCTAACTCTAGTCGGTCAGCTCCAATTGACCCTCTCAAGTTGGGCCCAGTCAGTCATCTCTAGTCGGCCCAATCATCCAGCTCCAATTAGTCCTCTTCGATTGGCGACTTCAAGCTGACAACATAGAACTAAAGGTATAATTATCATTTTAGAATAATTCTCCTGTCATAAATAAAAGAAAATTATCTGTGCTATGAGAAAAAATGTAATATGAAATTATTGTATTCTAAGAAAATTGTGCATTTGTCTCTCTCTATCTCTCTCTCCCTCTATTTTATTTATGCTTCATTCCTTCGACGTGAACCAATATAATTTCGGATTCAAAATCCTAAAAGATATGATAAACATGGGTTGTCGTAAGTAGCAATAGAAATAACACAATAAGAAGAACTGATCAATATATAAGTGACTAATAACATACTGATGCATTAGAGAAGTCGCTCGGGAGAATAGTCAAACTCATTCACTTGGCCTCCTCTACTTAATCTCTTTCTTTGGGCCTCCTCTACTTGACCTCTTCCATTTGGCTTCCTCCATTCGACCTCCCCACTCGGCCTCGTGTTCTCGGCCAACAAATTTATCTTCCAAGGAAGTTCTCTAAAAAACATCTTCGGAAAAATAATTTGTCCAAGGGACGATAAGTCACCAAGAAGTGAAGACAAAAAAAAAACTCTACAGGGAAAATATCTGAGGACCATCTTTATTAATTTTTTTGGTTGCATTTTACCCTTTTCTTACTTTTTTAATGTGAATTCGCCCATAGCTCTCAAAGAACTTGCCTCTCACAATAAAGCTTCTAAGAACTACAAGAAAAACAACCCATATTTTTAGACCCTACTCGGCTTAATAGCCAAATGCTAGGAACAAATTTGTAGAAGCTTTTTCCAAAATATAACTCGGTTAATAAAGAATGAACTCTGCTAACCTAGGATTGAATACCATGAGATCCTGGCCTAGGTACGGTTGAAAAATTACGACGACTATTCTCTGTAGGAGAGCTACGACCCACATATAAAGAATAGTTTGACTTTAGCAAAACTACTTGAATTTCTTTATCACTGAGTCATTAAAAGTAGCCAATCTAGTCGCACAAAGAAAAAAAAAAAGTCCTCTCACTGATAACACTTGGGGAACTCTCTTTATAAGATCAAGTTAACTTTAATAGTGATGAGTTGGCAATCTATGAGACTACTCCCTGAAGGTGAGCCACAATGCTCCCAGGACAGAATCTTGTGGAAGAATTGAAAACCCCGAACAAATGAATAGTTGACAAATACAGAATGCCCCACACATTTTTTACTTGAATAGTTTTTTAACTTGTATTTAAAGAATAACATGCACTTGTCATATAGACGAGTAATATTAAATTCATATTCATCGTTCTCTTACTATTTATGCATACATCTTTCAAAGATATAAAATAATAAGGGAACTAATATATATGACAAAAATACTCCTTATTTTAAGGTTATAAGGTTGTCCAAATCCCACTGAACCGTGCTAGCTCCAGTTAGTCCTCTCCAATCAACCAGCTTCAGTCGACCTACTTAGTTTTCTCCAGTCGGCTCAATTGGCTAGCTCAAGTCAACCCTCTCCAATCAGCCCAATCAAACCTCTCCAATCAGCCCAATCAACCAGCTCCAGTAGGTCTTCTGTAATCGGCTAGCTCCGATGGCCCCTCTTCAATTGACCGTCTCCAATAAATTGCATAAGACTAGGAGTATAATTATCGTTTTATAACCGTCCTCTATATTATTTATTTATTTATTTTGTGCATAGACATATAATTATAACTTTCTATTTGTAATCATTAAATATGCCGAGCAATAGTCAAATAAAATATTTTTTTAATAATTAATAGCCAAATAATTTGGGGGAAATTTAAGTGATTATTTATGTAAATAAAAATTGCATTTTTTTTAAATTTTTTTAGCAAGGAAAATTTACACACCACTAAATTTCAATGTATTTACATTTCTACCACAATAATTTTAATAATTACATGCATGCCCTTTTGCATGCACATGAAAATATGCATCACTTTCTAAAAGTTAAAATGAAGATATATTTTATGTGAAATGAAAGATTTGGGTGGCATAAATGTAAAAAAAAAAAAGTTTGGGTATTTAGATGTGTAAATGCATAGGAATTGGGTGGTATGAATGTAAAATCCAATGGAAAAAAGGACATTTACATACATACCTCCAAATTCATATAAATTTACACATCTAACACATAGAATTTGTTTTTTTTTTTATATTCATGATATCTAAATCTTTCTTTTTTTTTTATATTCATGATATCTAAATCTTTCATATCGCATTAAAATACCACTATTTTAACTTTTAAGAAATGAAATATACATTTTTCAAGCAATGTTAAACCAGTATTATAGATTCAATTGAATTGACGTGCCGGCCGGTTCCACGATTAAGAGAAATACGAAAGTTAGGAGTCATTCGAGCAGTCAGTAGAGGGAGAAAGAGAAGGGATGGCAAAAGTAGTAGCGAGAAAATGAGAGGAAGCTAAATGAATAGAGAGCAAGAAAACAATCATGTGTGAGGACTAGCCTAGCTTGCGGCGGCCTCGTATTGCATGTACTAGACAAATGTGAACAAGATGTATGTCATCCACATAGCCCTTCACATTGTTCTTGTCAGCCACACACATTTCTCCAAGATTCAATTGTCATGACTACTCTTGGTCACATGTTTGTCATCTACTTTAGATAGATGGTTGGAAGTTTTGTTCATATATATATATACACTTGGTATGTCAAAATTAATACATATATTATGGATAACCAATTTAGTATAACTCTATTATATTATATTATATAAATAAATATGAGTTTTTAAATATTGAATATATAAGCTTATAAAAATTATGCAATATATAACTAATAAATAGAAAAAAAATCATATCTTTGCATTCTATTTACAGACAACCAAACAACTCATAAGTACTTAAAATGCATTGCATTTACTTTACTTTACAAGCATTTAACCAATAATTCACTTAGTGAAGCCTACATGTTGGTCAATTGGGTCCTAAAATACATCATGCAAGCCAATGCATAACATCTAAGCATTGGAACCTCTGCCAACTCATATGAGAATTAGACATAGTTGTCCTCTCATCCAATGAGAGCCTTTATTTGTTTGCTACTCTATATGGTGTCGACTAAGCTGGGTTGATTGATATGTAGTTTCGAAAATTAATTGGGAACGCTTGATGAATTTTAAATTACCATTTAACATATTTTGAGAAGCTCTCATCTTTGTTGCTTGCCTAAGAAGGATTTCAATGCATATATTTAAAGGTTTGATCTTTCTTTTTTTTTATATGATATGGTCTAAAATAATATATAAATTTAACCCATTTGTTAGAGGCAACTAAAGCTACATGTCCTTCGACAAATCTCAAATAGAGAGACTAATCAGTCTAAGAAATTTTTTTACTACTAAAGAATATTTAAGCTTATTCTATTGTTGTAAGTGTTCTTGCATTTTAATCCACTAGTTGGAGCGTTCAATAGGATTTAGAGATTTTATACCTTTTGTTCAACAACAAATAGGGACTTGCTCAAGTCTAGTAATTTTTGAGTGGTTGAAATATTGTACGAATATATAATTTTAAGTCACTCTTAGTTTAGGAGACAAGTGGATCTTTGCTTGACCTCCTCTCTGCACCATTTTGAATCCAAGTCATGTTTTATATCATAGCATTGCAATTCATTAAATGTGTGTGTCTAAATTTCAAGTGTTTTGTATGCTACATTTTAATTGAAATGAAAGATCCACGGGACGTAAAAAAATCAAGCACTGAGCATAAGTTCACCAAGCTCATGGCTTATAAGAAGAACTTAACAGGATTCAACTTTCTAAATGAATAAACTTTGGTTGAAAGATCTTATTGACGTGTGGCTTAGGAGGGCTGAACCGATTCATCTCTACTAATGCTTAGATCGGCCGGTCCTAGGGGGCAAATTTTACTGCCCAAGGGGAGAGCCCACACCCTCCCACCCACACATCCCAATTTCTCATCTTTTTACTATTATAAATAAGTTGTTTGTTGTGTTTATGGTTTGTTTTTCTGAGTTTGAGTTGTGATTTCTATTGGAACATCCATTAACATCCCCTTTTCCCCTTCGAGAGCTATATCCAATGGTGAGAAGGTGATCTGATTGTAACTCGTTCGAGGTGGTGTGTATCTTCCTTTTCCTTCATGGCTGTCACTACTCCAACAACCCTCCGATCACCAATGCCCACTCCTTCTTGCTCTCAGTCATGCCCTTTAGCACCCCTTTCCTCCCTGCCTTATCGCTACCAAGATTTCCTCGCCCATTTCGTTACCCTGCCTTCCTCCCTACATTTTGCTACCACTAAGCACGGGAGTTTTTAATGTTCCCCCTTCCAACCCAATTACAATTCCACTATCTAGTCTCAAATTCCACAACGCTTACTCCGAACCGCGATTCAACCTTCCCGTATCCTCCATCTCACAAACCAACCCTATCTCCTACCCATCCCCTTTTACAACCACACCTCCCATTCCCCATTCATCAACCCTGACGCTTCTTCTCCCTCCCGTGACCATCCACAGTCAGGTCTACTTAACCCTGCACCAACCAACAAGGCACAACTCCTCAAATTACCTTGCCTCAACTACCACAGCCACAACCTGCACCCCTCCTGTTGTCCAGCTGCCATCCAACCCTTCGTCGTCGCCTTAGGGTGTCGTTTATTCTTTGTTTCTCATTTATTTTCTGTTTTTAAGAGTCTTGATTGTAACCTATTTAAATTTCATCAATAATATTTATGTTTTATTTTAGTTTGGGTTAACTCCAATATCATTTGATATCAGAGTTAGCCTAACTAATCCGATCCTAGGGTTTCCTAGCATCTGCCCCTATCTAAGTTGTCCACACCGAAAATTTTTCTTTTCTATTTCCGAACCTTGACGTCATTTTGACCTAACCCTAATTCTCCTTTGCTGATTTTCAAAATCAACAATCTCAAAACCATCGATCAATCCCTTACATCCTCTTTCACCTTCTATCTCTAAATCTTAGCCACACCACCAAGAAGATACATACTCGAACCTACCCGGAAGGAGATATAACTGGAGATCCGTCGACTATAATGGAGATTGACAGACACTGAGGATGACACCTAGGAGGGACTTCTCTTCAATGGTGATAGGAAAATCCTTTTAAGAGAAAGTGACGAGAATTTCAACATCTTTTATAGGGAGGTTTTTAGTAATGAACAAGCAACGCCACGACACTTGGCTCTTTGATACCTGAGGAAGCCAAGAGAGGAGGTCACATATGAAGAACGAGAGAATCTAAAAGTGAAGTGGGAGACAAACACTAGTTCCTACTAGCTCACTACAAATAAATGATGCAAACTCTAGCTTCAGAAGTAGAGAGACTACATCACCGAACAACCACTGCATCTTACAGATAGAGTTCAATATCAGAATTTATAGTCAGAGTACACATGAGAGAACACCCAAGACGGCTCCATCAAAGGATAAGTTAATTCAGAGTAGAGAATAAATGGAACTAATTCACACCTCTAAACTTTTCATAAAGAAAATAATTTTGTATAAATAAGAGATGTGGCCCTAAAAAATAGGTTTGGTGCATTTACATCCATTCTTAAATTAACCCACCAAACACCAAACACCAAACACCAAACACACACGTAGGCGGGATATAAAAAGGGAAATATTTCATGCCACCCCAAAATTACGAAACGCTGGTTCCAATTTCCTCCGGCTGCTCCGGCAATGTCGCCTCCGTGAAACGCTCGGCCATTTCTGGCCACCTTCAAACCCTTCAGAAACTGGAAGGCGACCTAAGTTTTGTTCTCCCCGCCATGTTCGCTTCCTCCTTTCCCTTCTCTCGAACCCGCATCGGCCGCGGGTTTCAATCGCCGGCGTCGAGATTCCTCCCCTTCAGGAAGGGAGGTTATCGAACGACGCATCTCCTCCGCAAAGAATGGCACAAACCTCGTCGTATTCTCGATCCCGGTGGCAATGCTGTCCTCAAATGGAATCGTGTATTCCTCGTCACCTGTCTCGTCGCGCTCTTCCTCGATCCTTTCTATTTCTACCTAATGTTCATCGCAGGTCCCGCCTGCATGAAGATTGATCAGGGCATTGGTATTACTGTTACTTTCTTTCGAACTGTCGCCGACCTGTTTTACCTCGCTCACATGCTGCTGAAATTCCGCACGGCATTCGTGGCGCCGAGCTCGAGGGTGTTCGGCAGGGGTGAACTCGTGAAGGATCCCCATCAGATCGCCATGAAATATCTCAAAGGGGATTTTATTATCGATCTTGCAGCTATGCTTCCGATTCCTCAGGCAAGGCTTCGCGTGCTCCATTTCTATTTTAAATTCCTCGATCTTCCCTCATTTGCTTTGCTTAATTTCAATTTTTCTTATCTTTTTATATATATATATATATATATGTTGCTACGTGCATTAGAGTGCTGAAGGATTGAAAGGAATTATCATGCTTGATGCGTGCATTATTAAAGCTCTAAAAATCGAGTCATCTGAAATTTAAGCAGGACATGTAGATGCAAGAAAATTGCAAGTATGATGCGGTGTTGAGGGTTAAATATTATCATTTTGCCAGTGTAAAGAAAAAAAAAAAATGATTCCGTATATGTGTTGAACTTTAAGCATTGCAAACATTGCATTAGAGAAAAAGAAGCTGCTGGGATCACAGATATTTTTAATTTAATTCTGCCTCTTTTCAGTTTGTACATAGATTGTATTTAAAGGGATCTGAGTGTAGTTTGTTACTTGTTCAACTGCCCTAAGAAGTTTTATTATCTGGGGGCTGGATTTTGGTGTTGTTAACATCCCCCTACAATGTGACAGTCTTGGGAGAGGTGGTGGGCTTGGAGCAGAGATGCTGAAAATGAAACCTTGAGAGCAGTCTGGTAAAAAGTTCTTCCAGCGGACCCTGAGAGGGAATATGATGGATAGTGATGGACTTGTTCTTAATGCAGTCCCTAAGGAAGTGACAATTAACTTCAAAATGTTTAGTGTGAGCATGAAAGGCCGAATTAATGGCAAGAGCGATGGAAGAGGTGTTGTCACAGTAAAGTAGAGAGGATGAAGGTATGAGGAGCTAGAAATTCACGATGTCGGAGGCAGCGAAGGCAAGATTGCCGTACTCAGCTTTTGTGCAGGAGTGTGCGACCGTTGATTGCTTCTTGAGTAGCGTGGAGATGAGAGTACTGCCAAGGAAGGCGTAGTAACTGGATGTAGATTTTCTATCAGTAGGATCTTCCACACATCGGAGGACTGTAGGCAGTGAGGCGTAGAGTAGATTTGAAGGTTGGTAAGCCAATGTGCCTAGTACCTTGCATGTAGAGAAGGAGGCATCCAATTGGTGACAAAAAGTGGTGGTGATTGGGTGGTTGCATAAATTGGTAAGCATAGTTAACATTAGGGGTGTCGAAAATTTACCCAACACACCAATTCAACTCGAACTCAATTCAAAAAGTCCAGGTTTGGGCTGACTTGAATAATTTTAGGGTCTAGTTGCCTGTTAGGAATCTTAACTTATTTAATTTTTGGGATCGGGTACGAGTTGCCTCACCAACTTGAAATTAACCCAAAACCAACTCACTTACCTAAAATTGATATGTCGTTTGCCAAGTTGAAATCGACTTGAATTTGACCCAAAAATCGATTTGAGTAGCTGTTGTGTTTTATGTTAAATGGGTTATACTTGTCAAGTTTGGATTCGTGGGTTGGGTTCGGGTTGAATTTTTTTGAGTCGTTTAATATTTGCAATGGTTCATATTTAGTCGTTAAGGGTTTGGTCAATTTTGGGTCAAATCTGAACTGATCCACAAACCTGATTTGACACCCCTTGTTGGCATCAAGTGTGGTGTCCGGCTAGGTGAGTTTGAAGTATTGAAAGGAGTTGACAATTTGATGGTAAAGGCCGGGATTTGAGAGTTCGGCGGAGTTAACAGTGGTGGAGGAAGGTTTTGTTTAGTAGAGATTTATAATTGGTTTAGAGTTTAGCATGTCGACCATTGAGAGAGTGTCATTGGAGCATTAAGATTGTGTTAGGTGAAATCCATAACCGGTAGGAGTGCATTTGATGCCAAGAAAATGGGAGAGTTTGCCAAGGATTTCATTTAGAATATTTGTTGTAAGATTTTGACTATATTGCATAGATACGAACACGACAAGATACAAACACAAGACACTGCTATTATTAAAAATATTGGACATAGACATTTTCAGACACACCATTTTAATAAAAAAATAATAATATTATTATATATAATAAATAAAATATTAAGAATAATACCAAAAAAATAAAAAATTTAATAACATTGTCTTTCGAAAATTAAGATGTCCATAATGAGAAATAATAACACAAATGAGCTGATAGATGACCGCTCGACCTCATCTAAGAGAAAAGAAATCAGACAAATAAGTCGAACAAATAGGTTTAACCTTTAGATAAAAAATAAATTATATTTTAAATTTTACTCATAATAATATACCATAGATGCTTTAAAAATATATATATTTTTTATTTTTATTTTTTAATTAAGTAATTTAAGAAACACATGTCTGACACATCTGTTCCTTGTTTATTTTAATATTATTTTAATCAGACATGTTGGGGACGTGTTTGGCAGATGTCCAGGACGTCTCGAGCATGTGTTTGGGGCATCTCGGGCACGTTTTTAAGGTGCCTCGGGCACTTGTTTGTGAGAGAAGTGTCCGACACTGCACGACTTCTTACTCAGAAGTGTTCATGCATCATAGACTTTTGATGATTTTGGTAATGTGGATAGGATCAGAGCTAGTGAGGAGAATGCATTCACGTAGATGAGTATATATAGATGAGTGGCATGTTTGTGGAGACAGAAGCTTGAGAGGTCAGTTGAGCTAGGTGTAAACCCCATATTAATATGGTGATTGGATAGAGTAGCAAATCATCGACATGGTGCATGCTTGAGGCCAGGGCGCCCTAAATCTACAAACTTTAGGGTTGAGCCATTTAGATAGTTTCTATGACATGTCCATGAAGGAAAGCATTGGAGACGTCGAGTTAGAGTATGAACCATTTGTTTGTGAGAGCAATTGTAATAAGAATTAACATTAAATGCAATTTTATTTTTATGCATTTATTGTTTAGTACACGTTGATAAGCAAGTCTACAAATGAACTAATATGCTAAACAAATTATTTGTGGCTCGGCTTAGTTAGAATTAACTAATTGAATAAGCTTGAACAATTTTATAAATTTTTAATTGATAATTAAACTAACTTGAATAGTTTAGGGGTTCAATTCATTTATGATTTTAAATAATATCATTTAATGCTCATGAGCAAACATGTTTATTTAAGAATTGATTATATATTTATTCAATATGTGATTATATGGTAGTCTTGTTTTCTTTTATATTAGATTGTTTTTGTTCACCAAAATACATTACTTGTTATGCTCATAAAAATCTCTGTTTATTTAGTAGTTCATTCAATTAAAATCTCATTTTAAGATCAATAGATTACTCATTAATAGGCTTGTCAAAGCTTATTTAGTTAACTACAAGCTATTTGATAGAATTGCTCATTCATAAGCTCAAAATGGCTCGTTTAATGAGTTAATAAAATGGGCTCAAATCAAGCTCTAACAACCATAATTTCAATTGAACCAAACTTGAGCATTACTATAACTACTCAAATCAAGCACAAGCTCGAGCCTGATTTTGGCAAATAAGCTTAAGCTCGTTCAAGTTCCTGATCAAACTCGGCTCAGTTCATATGCAGTTCTAGTGCTCTGCATCTTTATGATGACATATGAAGATATAACTGAACTATTTTGGGATTTGATCTTTGTTTTTTTTTTGTGCCGCGGAGTGAATAATCACAAATGTAGCAGTTAGGGGATAGTGGTGTGCTCGGCTGCTGGACTACGAAGCAGAGAAGAAGCCCTCCGCCAATACGTAGGCTGCTCATTGCTCGGGTTTGATTAGAGGAAGAGAATCTTTTCTATTTTGGTTGCTTGTGTAAATGAATTTCCAATTTAATTAAATAAAATAAGCTCACATTAAGATGATAGTTATGTTGAAAAATATTCACTTGTGGAAATATTGAAAAAACTTATGATTTTGGCTGCAGATACTTATCTGGTTTGTAATACCAGCAGTGAGTAGCTCATCAGCCAATCACACCAACAACACATTATCTATGATCGTCTTCTTCCAATATATTCCAAGGTTGTTTCTGATATTTCCTCTTAATGCACGAATCGTCAAAGCCACAGGAGTCGTTACAAAAACTGCGTGGGCAGGAGCTGCATATAATCTTCTGCTATATATGCTTGCGAGCCATGTATTTTTTTCTCAGTAACCTTATATTTTCTCTTAATTACATTTTATTTTATTTTATTTGGGAAATGCTCAGCCAACTGCCATTTCTACAGGTATTAGGGGCTCTATGGTATCTTTTATCCATGGAACGCCAATATACTTGCTGGATGACAGAATGCATGAAAGAGAATGGCACCATGAAGATGCCACCGTGCAATCCAAGTTTTCTGGACTGTAATAGTCTTGAGCTACCTGAGCGAAAGGCCTGGATCAATGCTACTAATGTGTTAAGAAATTGTGATGCAACCAGTAGTAATGTTAATTTCAAATTTGGCATGTTCTCTAATGCTCTGGATAGTGAAGTTGTTGGAGCAACCTTCTTGGCAAAGTACCTCTATTGTCTCTGGTGGGGCTTGCAAAATTTGAGGTGAATTTCTTGAAGTATAAAACTATTATGTGTTTTACTTTATCTTCCTGTCGGAAGTTATTAATTATGCTGTTTTTCTTAGAGGCAATTTAAGTTTTTCTGCCATTATTACTGCCACACGCTAGTTTCAGAAGAAGCACTTCATGATAATATGGGATATAATGAAGCGATTGATCTCGACATGTGAAATATAATTTAGAAGTCAAGATTGATTAAACTGGTGCCCTAGTCACAAAAAATAAAATGTGAATCATATACAAGTAATTCAAATTAATATATGTAAGATTCTCAACACATATCCAAATAATATATTTTTTTCTATCAGTAGAGACTAAAACAAGGCTTTAATCGGAAAATAACAACACTAATGAGAGAAACAACTACATAAGCCATGAGCGGAAACTCAATAGAAGTATCAGTGCAAAAGTATGATGCAAACTAAAAAAAAATCAACTGACTATTACTGAAAAGATTGCTTTTGTAGTTGTGGTTTATCAAGCAACATTGTAGAATTTGTGCTAAAAAATGTTTTATTTTGAATAAATTTATTTTTTTAGATTCAATAAGAAACTAAATATTTATTATAATATAAATGTTGAGATATTAAATAATGCAGTATGAACAATAAAAGATGTACGATATACAAAATAATAGTAGTATGCTAAATATCATAAATTCATTAGATTGACATAATATTTTATGGCATAAAAGAAAATAATTTACATTTCTTAAAATAATCTATTAGATGGCCATGCTCACTTTCATTTGTATGGAAATAATTTTTATTATATTTCCATGTAAATATATCAACGTGCAACTGCTACAAATATAATCATACACATTTGAGGTTTACTCTCATCAATTATTTATCATTTTCTTATATAATAGAATAAAACTATTTACATCTCTCTCATGGATCAGCAATTATGGTAGCATCTTGCAAATATTTAGCTCGGATTTCTAGACAATAGAACACTATCGCATCATGCATTAACATTCCACCAAAAAGATTCTAACACAGTTCTATTTTGCAGTAGCAACTGAATACATTGGTGCAATTATCATATTATATTAATAACATTTCTCTTTTCTCTAACTACTGACAGCTCGTATGGACAGAATTTGGCTACAAGCACTTACATTGGGGAAACTTTATTTGCCATTCTCATCTGTATAATGGGTCTTGTTCTGTTTTCACATTTGATAGGAAATATGCAGGTATTGTCCATTTTCCTCCTCAAAAGTTTTTCATTCTGTTAATATTGAATGGAGATGTTGATTTCTAACATGTTACATTAGTGAAACTTTTATCCATTGTTGGCACAATATTTTGAAAAGTGAAAAGTGTCAAAATAATTACTTGACTATTTACATGGCGCCTTATTAGTCAATAAAAGTGCCAAACTAGTCCCTAGACATTTTAAATTGGGGCTGAAATAGTCCTCCGGTGAGACTATTTCATCTCATATTAGAAGAGCCTGAGGTCTAAATTGATATTTTTATATACTCCGGTACTAAAATGATCCTATGCAAAGAATCAATGGATTATTTTAAAAATCTTCTCATTTTGAAACTCTATCCTCCCATTTATTCAGAGATACATGATTCCCAGCATATTCAATTTTGGTAGATTGATATTGCTTTTTAATTAAGATTGTTTCTTTGTTGAAAGACGTATTTGCAATCCATTACTGTGAGGCTTGAAGAATGGAGAGTTAAAAGGAGGGATATTGAGGAGTGGATGAGACATCGTCAACTACCACCAGATTTGCAAGAACGGGTTAGGAGGTTCGTTCAGTATAAATGGCTTGCTACAAGAGGTGTCGATGAAGACTCAATTTTGGGCTCCTTACCTTTGGACCTTCGTCGCGAAATTAGAAGGCATCTTTGTCTTGGACTAGTTCGTAGGGTGAGTATTATCAACCACTGGAGTAAAGCGAAAGGTCTCTTGACTGTTTAATGGGGTCATTTTAGTCCCAAAATTTATAAAAGTATCAATTTAGTCCCCAGACTCTTTAAATTGGGTTTAAGGAAGTCCTCCGTGGAGTATGGGGACGAAATTGACATTTTATAGAGTGTAGACTACAATGACCCCCTACAAAGAGTCAGAAGTCTAGTTTCATATTTTTCTCATCTACCATTGCCATGTTTACTTTGTGAAGCATTCAGATATCGTATTCTCCAATCTCCATTTTATGTTTATTATTATTCAGATGGTGTGATGTATAATGATGTCTTTGAATCTGTTTGTTTCAGGTCCCATTTTTCTCTCAAATGGATGATCAACTTCTAGACGCGATATGCGAACGATTGGTCTCATCCTTGAGCACCAAAGACACCTATATTGTCCGGGAAGGCGACCCGGTGGTCGAGATGCTCTTCATTATACGAGGCCAGCTCGAGAGCTCGACTACCGACGGCGGCAGGTCCGGATTCTTTAACTCCATAACTCTAAGACCAGGGGATTTCTGCGGCGAAGAGCTTCTGACATGGGGTCTCATGCCAAATCCAAGCATCAATTTACCGCTCTCCACCCGAACCGTTCGAACCCTCACTGAAGTAGAGGCATTCGCTCTTCGAGCTGAAGACCTGAAGTTCGTCGCAAATCAGTTCAAGCGTCTCCACAACAAGAAGCTTCAGCATGCTTTTAGGTTCTACTCCCACCAATGGAGGACATGGGGAGCCTGCTTCATCCAGACTGCATGGAGAAGATACAAGAAGAAGAAGCTAGCAATGGAACTGGCAAGCCATGAGAATCTCTACTACTCACCAGCCATGGTTGAAGCAATACCAGCTAATGAGGATTCTGATGCTCCATTGCTAGCAGAATATGGTGATGTTGGTGACAATGGTTTCAGAGGCAATACAAGCAGCACGAATCAATTGGGGACGACGATTCTGGCATCGAAGTTTGCGGCGAATACGAAGAGAGGAGCGCAGCAGAAGCTAAATAGAGATGATCCTGTCTCCCCCAGTGTGAAGATGCCCAAGCTAATCATGAAGCCGGATGAGCCAGATTTCTCTTTCAATGAAGATGGTAAGTGAAATGTGGTGGAAGTGCATTGTTGAAGAGAGGGAGAGAGAGAGAGTAGAAAAGGAGTTGGTGTAAGAATATTTTGTAGCATGTACATGATTTTGGGCTTTAATGTATCTCAGTGATTGTCATACTAAATTCATTCTTTGCTAACTAATAGAAACAGTGAGCATTTCTTAATTTAGTGCATTGTATATATATACTAATTTCAAACTAAAACAAGCAGAACACGATCAAATAAAAGGTTGTTTGTGCTTGACGTTTTTATAATTCAAGCTTTAAAAAATTTGTTCGTGTTTTGCTCACTTACTTGACGAACAATTCGATCCTAAGTGACTTAACAAGCTGAACATGATCTGTCTGCTAATAACAAACTTTCTAACAGCCCTACTTTAGGATTTGATTTTTTTTCTTGCAAATTAAAATTAATTTTAGTTTCCTAATTTATATTTTTAAGAGGTTTATTTAAGTAGAAGTATTTGGGTTCTATTCATTAAAGTATGATATTATGTCTCAAATATAATAATTTTATAATTTGTTATTTGCTATTTTGTTAAATAAAAATTTAAAAATTAGCATTCTTAAATTTTGCTATTGGCGTTTTTAAAAACGTCGTCTAACCGTTTGGTTTGCGCGTTTTTGAAAATGCAGTCTGTCGCGTTTGAGTTTTTTACACTAAACGCAGGTCGCATTTCAGGATAAGTTGATTATCCTGAAACGCACAAGCTACCCAAAACAGACCCTAAAAGTGAGAGTTTAGGTCATACATTAGGGACATTTACTCATTTACCACACAATTCGTATGAATTTACACATCTAACTCCTAAACTTTAACTTTTACATTTTTAACACTCAAATCTTTTTTATAACAAAAAATATCACTGTATATCATTACCCTTTTTTAAAAGGGAAATACTACTCTTAATACATAAATAAAGTGGTATTAATATAAATTTTAAGTTATATAAATAAATAAGAATTGTGTGGCATGTATGAAAATCTTCTTATATGCTTTTATATTCATGGCTTATACGCTTGAGCATGAAGAGTAATAATGGAATAGTAATTATTATTTTCAATTCATATTTTATAATTTATCAATAGGAATTTTTATCCAATTTAATGGTCGAGGCAACGCGGAACATGCTGCAAGCAAGACACATCTCATGACACAATTCATCATACAATGTGATTGATCACAGTCGAGAGCGAGCTATACTCGTACTAACGATCTCTCATAGGCACCTAAGGTTCAGTGTTTGGATGTGCGGCATAACCGCCTCCGGCTTTGGCGAGGAGCGTGGAGAACTTCATCATCCGATTTCTCGCAGGAGAAGTTCTCCACCGATCATAGGACGGACTAGCTACTAAGCTCTTTCCGTTCTACAATCCCTATACGATCCCGTTCATGCATGCACATGCTCTACCTGCAAAGCGGATTGCCTTCGACATGAACATTTAGAAAAAAATACTACGTGCACACCATATTCACAACATTAAACATAGGCGCGTTTCACGTCACACACCCAAAATTTGATATTTACACTTATAATATCATACTATCATATGTCCATAAAAAGTGCATTTCATTATAAAAAAGATAGTGATGATGATGTACCAAAAAAAAAAAAAAAAGACTTTATAAATATGTAGTGTTAATTACATTCATAGCACTCAAAACATAACTATTTACAAAAATAGCATTTAGGTGATTTTTTGAACTATCAAACTGATGCATTTATATCTGCGACAATCAAACCACTGATAATTTGATACAAAATGAAAAACATGGATTGGGGTTTCTTCATGAATTTTGATGTTTGAGTGAGAATTTGAAAATTGATGAAAGAGGGTGCAAGATTTATAAACAACAATGCATCGAGTGCTATGTATGTAATTGGCCCAAATATGTATGTATGTTTGTTTGTATATATACATTAATATTTATGTGTGTGTGTGTGTGTGTATCTATATAGATACATATATGTATGTATCTGTGTATAGATACATACATATAACGGTTTGGTAGTTCAAAAATATAACCTGGGCGCTTGATCTTGTAAATAGCAACGTTTCATGTGTTATTATGTATGTAATTATCTGAAAAAAATAGCCTGCTCCTCTAATTGGGGAGGGGGGAGGAAACAACTTCCAGAGTTGTTCTGGATAGAAGACCAGACGAACAATTCTTCTCTCTGCAGTCGCTGGCCGCCGTCAAAATTTATTTCATACTATTCCTATGTTGATAATGTCACGATTTGGTCCACGGTTTGGAATTAACCAACACGGGTACAGTCGATCATGAAACTCTAATTACGCCATGAATTCAAATACATCCACTATTAACATTTAAATAATAAACATACAGACATATATATAACTCCATTGTAATTGAACACTACTAAACAGAATTGCTAAATCTAAGATATAATGAAATTTTTCTCAGATACCATTATGATGTATATAGAGAAAACAGAAAACAACTTCATCACAAACCAAAGGTGATTCAATTACCAATCACATTAAGAAATAATTTACTACAAAAAGAAAAAGCATTCCTCATCTTTAAACTCTACCAAACAAATCTACCATATCAAAATGCAAACTCTTAGGAAAATTAAATGAGGTAGTTGGTATGGAGTTACCCTTCAAGTGGCATCCTCTGATTTCATCAACCAAAAGAAATCAGGATATTTTTGCAAAAGATACACTGCAACAATTCAAAGAATCGCCAAGTTGCAAAAAAACCATTTCCCCTATGTATGGACATGATAACTAACATATTCCGACATTTTAGGAAGTATTAAGTCAAAATGTAAACTTCACAAAAAAGAAAAAAACGATTTTTCATCCACCAATGTTCTCAGATGTTTCATCTCTGAAAGTAGATCAATATGCAGAAATTACCAGTTTTGAGAGCCAGACTTGAAGCAAACATTGCCAATCCATTCATAACAGGACTGCATGGAATAATTTTAAGAACTTTGGCAAATCAACTTCTATTTCTAACAAAGGATAATGTAGAAATTTTGATAGAGAAGTAGAATATACATAAATATTCACAAAAAAAAAGGAAGAGACCATAATCTGTATGAATATTTGACTTGTAATTGAAGAAAGATGTACATTAATATATAATCATGTTATTCGTAAAGCCGGGAGCCATTTACCTTTGGAAAAATATAATTTTGTGCTAATTTTGCGCGCATTTTAAATTTTTGCTATGATTGGCTAAACAAGAACTAGTTTGGGATGATTTTCAGAATATAAAGTTGATGCTTTTGCAGGGTAGGAATTGTAAGGCATTTGAGGTTCTATAAAAAACGGCACATGCTTTTTCAAAACATTTAAGCTTCATAGCTAGCGTTGAGTTTTAAGAGTGTTATTATGGGATTTTGAAAAACAGCAACAAATTATGAAGCATTGCACAAGATTGGCGTATTGATATAGAAATCATGCGGAAAACTGATGCAAAATAAGCAAAACATTATTTCATCGAATTGCAGCAAGATGCTCTCTCTCTCTCTCCCTCTCCCTCTCTCTCTGTCTCTCTCTGTCTATTTCTGATTAAACCTTCACACGCCCTATCTTTAGAGGACTTCTAATATAGGACACCGTTTATTAATCAAGAAAAATTAAAGCAGCATTTACATACATACTACCCAGTTCTTATGCATTTACATATCTAATACCTAAACTTTGCAGTTTACATTTATACCACCCAAATCTTTTATATCACATAAAAAATATTGATATTTTAACTTCTAAAATATAAAATACCGATACAATTCGGCATCAAAATCGATGTGCACATAACAAACCTATTTATACCCAACAACAACAATAATAATAAAAGACTAAATTGCTTTTAGGCGTACAAAAGACAAATTTATCATTAAGTTGGCACCAACGTAACAATACTCCCCGAAAAGTTACATTGTCCTCAAGGTGAAAAAAGTGAGTGTTCCTCCTCCTCCCCACAACTGTCTCTATTTCTTCATTCTCTACCTCCTCGTCATGAACTTTGAGAACTTATAATTTTTTATCTTTGTAACGGTATCCTAGGGTAAACTTCTCATCATACCGAAAACATAACCCCTCGACTCGCTTCTTGCGCGAGTGTTATTCCCAATCGTGATCCATTATTCGTGTCTCGTGCAACCTTCCTATTGACTTCCACTATTTAAGCTTTTGGTATCGTTATGATTGTAGCAGTTCGGTACGGTATTCTGTCTGTGTTGTTCCTGTTGGCCTTCTTCATCTGATTTTTGTCCTTTATTAACTAAGCTAGCTCTATCGTCTCCCTCAATCCTCGTGATCTGATGCTCGTACTTTGGGCTTTAGGTCATTCATAAAATTTCCCTCCAATCCCACTTAAGAAATACTCCCCAGCCGTCCGATAATAGCTCAAATTTCTCCGTTATTTCATGACAATTTCCTCTTGAATCTAGACATAGAATTGCTTTTGTCTTCCCGAGTTGCTTGAAAATGTTCCAACAAACAATCCTTGAATTCCTTGCACGAATGGATCGGGTATCTAGCCTCCCTCTACTAAAACCAAGCTAGAGCTTTCCCTTCCAAACGTAACAATGCCGCCATTAATCTCCTCCCTATCTATCTATTCATCGAGAAGTATTGCTCCACCGATACACTCACCCATTTGCGTCTTTCCTCCGAAGATTGACATCTTCAACTTCCTAACTCTAACATCTACACCCGAACTTCCTCTTCCTCCATTGTTTCCCCCCATATATCGAGGGTAAAAACCCCTCCATTCATAGTCATACCTCCTCCCTACTTCTCTTCTTTCTTCTCCATGCTCCCCCATCCCTCTTGCATTATCTCTTCTCTATGTTTCAGCCCAATTGCCTTCATCCGAAATCTCTAATCCACACGCAATCAGATCCCTGAGAAGGGATTCGTGATGGTGAATGTTTTTTTCATTATGTTTCTCATGTTCGATCTCTTCTCCTTTAGCTTTTGCAAATTGAGCAGTCGGTGAGGTCTAGGATTGTATCTCAATAAGCCTCTTTATCATCTCTCGAATTTCCCTCGTACTCTCAAACCGGTCCTCCATTCAGTTCTCCATGAAACAAAATCTATCATTTATAATGGCGAACCTTTTTTCCATCCCAGATCTGATTTGGCTGATCACTTTCTCTAATTTCTTCTCCAAATCATCTGCTTCCTTGGTGGTCATTCTTCTTAAAAAAATTTTTCACAAAAGACAATTTTTATATGTTGAATCGAGCAACTGATCCGTAAAGTCAGTGCTCAAATCCAGTTGTAGCTTCCCTGGTAGCTCCAATCGCGACTGTCTGGTAGTTGCGGTCTCCTCTTCCCAACTAGCTTGGAATCCCGACTGTTGCGCGAGAGAAGAGCTGGTACAAGAGAAAGATGGAGGTTTCGCGTCTCTGTTCGCCGTTTCCCAGTCGCTGCCCTCCCAGGTAGCTATGATTGCGACTCTATCACGCAGACGACGAGGGAGGAAAAGATAAATGGGAGTTCTAGGTCTCTGTATGCCACGATCGCGCAGTTACTCTCAGCTTGCTTAGTCGCGACTTGATCTCGAGGACGAAGCAGAAGGAGGAGAAAAGGTATGGCTCGTCACTGTAAGCCCCGAACACGTAGTCTTAGCCCTAATAACAACTGCTCGAGCAAGTATGAAGCAGAAGGATGTGAGTTTCGAGTTTAGGTATGTCGTGATTCTTCCCCATGCAGCGATCCTTTTCAAAAAAATCGCAATTGTCCAGCAATGCTTCATTGCCCTCTCCTAGAAGCTGCGAGCCCGTCCATGTCTTCTTCTGTAAGTCGCGAGCCCGTTCGTTGCCCTCTTCTGTAAGCTGCGAGCCCGTCCATGTCTTCTTCTGTAAGTCGCGAGCCCGTTGTCTCCTGATCCACCCCAGGGTGTATCACTATGTTGTGCAGTACAGGCAAAGTCACCTGAAACTTGATCTGCTCCTTGACTAATTGATTGAGTTTTTAAAATTAGGGCTTTATTGAGTCTGAATTATCAATTCCACAGAGAAGCGAGATAAGAAATTCTTTAAGCTAAGTTCTACTCTACTAAGTTCAGGTCTTAGTTTGGAATGTCAATTAAATTTATTTTAGGACAACTACTCTAAATACAACCCTAAGTCTAAAGTTAAACCTAACTAGACAAATTGGTTTGATAAATTTTAAGAGGTAAAAACTAACTTTCTCTTGTGGTTACATAAGTGGATTGTAGGAAATATACTTAGAAGAATTGTTATTGTGACTAGTGACAAATGAGAGCATTCATCTTCTTTACCCTCTATCAACTGCATAAAGAAATTTGGTTAACCTAGTTTTAATTTCGTAAACCCCAGATTACATTGGTTACGATTCTATTTTGTCATCCTAGAGTCTCCAATTTATTCCCTCAATTTGGCTAACTTAGTTTTAATTCATTAAACCTTATATCAAATAGGATTCTAGTCTGTCACCCTAGAGTCCCCAATTTACACCCATCAAAGTCTATTTCTTTATCTATTTTCACTGTCATATGGATTATTTTTCCTTCACCCAATAGTCCAATTTGGTTCTTCCTAGTTATTCATGTCATAGCTCTCCCGAGTGTTTATAGTGAACATATAATTTTAACAGTTCATATAGCCAATACAAAAAGTAAATGAAACACAAAAAAAAACTATCACATTAAAGTTTAAAAATCAATTCTAAAAGCATCCTACAAATCTTACTTATTTAGCACAAGAGAAGGGTAAAAGAAATCTACTCACAAATTATGAAGAACACCATAGAAGACATCATCTTAACAGAAACGAATCCACTAAATATATATTTACAACAAATACAAGACATTAGATGAAAATATACTTAACTTTTGCCTCTGAAAAAGATATGCAAATTCCCCTAACAAAATCTCTTACTGTTTCTTGCAACTAATATAATTTACTTATAGTTTTCTCTCAAAATCCCCACTCCAATCTCTTGAGAAAAGATAAAAATCTACATTTCCTACTCATATTGATGACCTCTTGGCCTTCCTGGAGAATTCCAGGACATCGAAATGCCAAAAAGTATTTTTCCGAACTTTTGGATCAGTCAAATAACTCCCTAGGGCGTGCAGAAACCGCCCCTAGACAGTTCTGGTATCTAGGCACTAGTCTGCGGCGTCTAGGCGTCGTCTTCTCTATTTTTTTGGGAGGACACTAGCACCTAGGTACCGTCTTCTCAGGTTTCTTGGAATGTTCTGGCACCTAGGCGACAGGAATTGGCTACCTTGTCGCCATGGCGCCTACCCGCCTACCTTGGCGCCAGGGTGTGGTTTACCCTTTTCTCCATTTTGCCTCTACTGAGAAAAAATGAAGGAGGCCTATTTGTATTGCTTCTCATCATGCAATGAATTGTATTGTACTTCATCTTAGTATATGATAAACACATTAACCTATAACATCTAATCATTATTCTGATGGAAATGATGATTCCTTGGGATCTTATTATCAACTTTCTTCATAATATGGATAATACCACGATGGCATTGAACAGACCCTCACTCACAGGTGATCAAAGAGCTAATCTTCTTCATAAAACACAATCTCATAATACATATTATAGCACGCCTTCCTATTTTAATGGATGAAGCTGTACTTCTCATGAAACATTATACTAACCCAAGTCAGTTTGATTGCTCTCCTCCAAAATGTCTTCAAGACTCCTATTTTGACAAATGTCAACCAATCTAAAACTTAATGATAAAAAATACAATGCTATGAATCTATGATATACAAACTACAATGTGCTTTTGATACAAGAAAAATCCTCTTAATTTCTCCTTCTAGCCATTCTAAACCAAGATGCTCTACCAAACGCATTAGCTACACTAATCCCAATAACTCCACCTTGTGTATCTAAGCAAATGTTTGATGATGTGGTTGAAGTTGAAGCTAGTTTTGAGTGTGATGATGTGGTATTCAAGCTTGAATGATGTGGTTGAAGCTAGTTTTGAGTTGAACTTGAGCATGATTTGCACCCAATATATAGCTGACCTGGAGCTTCAAATGGGAATCTTACAAAAGTTCGATGTTGTGGCTAATTCTCTGAACCCTAAACCCTCTGAACATTCTAATCAATGTTGTTATAGCCTACCCTCTATAAAGAGAGAAACGGATTGTTTCTTTAGCTTTTGATATTGTAGCATATTTCATAACTAATTTCACTTCATTTTTCCACAGCTTGAAACTATCAAACTGCCATCAAGGATATTATACATGGTAGCATGCTGTACGGAGATATCCAGATTCTCCATTCTACGGAGATGGTCATAGAGGATGCTCCTGAATTCCATACGTGAATCTTGCTTTCTTCGTGTCTCAAATTTACTTTGTATTGTTGCTAACGCCACGACCAAATTACAATGAGAACTCTGTCAATACTGCTGGTCCAATATGCTTGTATGATGGCTATCGACTTACTCAACAAAAATTAAACTATAATTTCACTATGTTTTTGTGCACAAAGAGAGATGCATGAGCCGATTCTACCATCACCATCTCCATGGGCACCAATTACTCTTCATGGAAGTGTTATTGGCACCCACAGTCATCTAACATTTTATCACCAACCCTTTTTTGGAATATCATCACATTGACGTAAATATGTAAAAAACTATTAATATTTGTTGAAGATTCTTTCAGAAAAGACATGCATTTTATGAACAATTCATTAAGATTTATTCTTATTGCACTTAGTTTACTTCAGTTTTTTTCTTACAAGTCCGCTATATAAATATGAGATGCTTGAAAGAAATTTCATCCCTGCACAAAAAGATAGATTGATAGAATTAACTTATTACGAAATAGATACTTAATTGGTAAGATAATCAGTAGTTGTGCAGATAAAATGCATAGCATTTTCCAGAAAGTAATGTCAAAGAGGATTCATATGCTTGATAGTAAATAGACTGAACAGAGCTAATGATTAAAATAGTGATCACTTTGTTGATAATAATGATCATGGTACGGCCACACTTAACTGTAGGGAACAGTTATTTGTTATTCAATATAAAAATTAATCAAAGCAAGGATGCTCGTTACCTATGAATACATGTACAAAAATTATTTAAGTTTGGCTAACATCAATTGGATAGCTCCCGAGCACTCTTAAGAATGTTGCAAACTCCTGATAATGAAAATAATAATAATAAAAATAATCAAAGGCATTGAATTTATTTAAATATTTTCAAAATCCATGTTAGCAGGCATACCTCTAGGTGTCTAAGGGCATTTTGAGTATTTTCTGAAGCCATCGATGCTTCAAAATCCACATGAAAAAGATAATCAAAGGACCTGCAAAAAATATAAGCAAAGGCTATAAGCAACTGATTTTCAGAATAATTAGGGATGGAAGTACAAATAGTATCTCAAGCTATAAAATATTCAAGAAAAACATAAAAAGGATCAGGCAAAGGTATACATGGGAGATCCACGACATCCATCTTCAAATACAGCCATAGATTTTCTCTTTTGGGGTCGGCTTTCAATCTAGCTTAAAAATTATACAAGAGTTAAAATTGCTCGGAAAAAAAAAACAATAACAAACTACACATAAAAATATTTTATCAAAACATAAAATAACAAAATTACCTTTGTCAAGTTGATATCCCTCATAGCAAAAACAGCAAGTGCCTTGAAAAGCATGCCAGGACCCTCTTCCAAAGAGAATACTATGCTCGTCTTACAAAAAAAAAGTTTAATAGTATGATTACACAATCAATGGAAAATCAATTTGATTTCTAACTTCTATCACTTAAAGTAAAAACAGGTCGTTCGGGGATACTAATCTTCTATACAATAGCATCTTCAACATAAATGATCAAACTTACTTTAAACGGTCTATTAATGCCAGGAATAATAGGCTCTCTCGCTAACATTAAAAAGCGTGTAACATTATCAGGGTCATCCTGCATAAGAGTTCATGTCACAAATAAAACAAATAACCAAATAAAATATCAACAAGTTAAGAAATCAATCCATACTTGAATATCTCTGGCAAGAATATTCAAACCATATAGTTCACCAGCCAATGAGCTTGCAACTGCCCCAGCATCTTGTAGCTTATTAGCAGCAACGAACTACAGAAAAACATAAACAAATTAATACAACGTCATGCATTTAAGTTAGTTGACTAGTTATGCACCATAATCACATGAAGAATACACAATGTCACTTGAAGAACTGAAAAAATGACAAGTGGCAAATGAAGGACTTCCCCTTCATGAAGTCAATAACTTGGATTACAACCTTGCTTCCTAGCATACAATAGGACAAGGAGAATGATTCATGTGAGGTAAAAAAGTGTCTCTATCTAACCTTTGCAGCACCTGCTGTATCATCCACAGCTTCCCTAACAACACCCAGCTTTGTTAAAGTGTTTTCACATTGTGCAAGGGCCTGATAGTTACATACATTAAGAGCATAATCAAAGCCAAAGCAAATGAAAGAAAATTTTACAGTAAGAAAAAAAGGTCAAAATGATCCATAAACTATTTATGAGAAGCCATTTTAGTCTTAAACTATTTGATATATGACCAATTTGGTCCTAAAACTTCTCAAATTTATTCTGAAATGGTCCCTTTACTTCTCAAAATCTGATCTAAATAACCATATAAGGACTATTTTAGATAATATTTAAGAAGTCGAGGAACTAAATTGAACACATTTATAGTCTAACTAAAACTAAAATAGCCCCATACAAATAATTCATGTCCCATTGACATGTTTATTTTTAAAAACAACACGAAGGCATTACTTGAGGGTGACTAAGAACTCTCTTTAGGTCTTCAATTTTAACACCATGATTTGCAAGCAAGCAATGCCGGACTGCATATTTCACTTCTCCAACAATATGTAAGTTATGGCGAAGCAATAAGTCATAATTACGATGGATGCTACCACCTAGAGAGTTCTCAATAGGTAAAACTGCCCTATCAACCTGCCAGCTTTCCACAGCCTGTGGTAACCAGAAATCAAATGTTTGCATTAGAATCAAACAATTAAGTAACTTAGGTGGAGGACTAGTTTTGAGAAAATACTAGTAAGATTCACAAGTTCGAAACCATAGACATAACACAGAAGGACTATCGGCGATTGAAGACAATGAAGGAACTAAAAAAATCATTTAAACATACATGCTCCATTATGACTAAGGCTATGTTTGGGAGCACTTTTTAGGTGCGGCGCGGGCATCCGCCGTGACTTCTCGCGAAAGCTGTCCGTTTGGTTCGCGACTTTGGGCAATTTGGCGGCGGCAGCGGGGCGAAAGCTGGACGCGGGATATCTGTGGCTTCTCCCGCTTTCGACCTAAATTTTACCCTTTTCCCTCTACCTACCCTCGGTGATTCCCGCTGTTTCCCCGCTGCTTCCCTCGAGTCCCCTTCTCCTTCTCCTCTTTCGTCGTCCCTCGACCGACAGATAAGGTAATACAAGCTATTTTCTTCTTTCTTTGAGGATCCGACGAAGGATTTGCGTTTTGCGGTTCGTGATGGTTTCTCCTTCACATTTCTTTCCTGTTTCTGTCATTTCTCTTTTCTCCTCCTTCCCTGTCGTGGATCTGTTGCTTCTTAACGAAGAATGGCTTTAGGTAGTTCTTGAAGCATCCAAGTTGTAGATCTTGCAGTACTTTTTTTCGGATCTGCGGTTTTGCGGTTTTGTGGTTTTGTGGCATTTCGGTTTTGTGGCTTTGCAGGTTTTGTGGTTTTCCCACAGAAACGTGTTAAGTGCTGTTCGAATTGGCTTGTTCATACATGAATTGGTTTCTTCATACATGCCTTATTTTCTATGGTTCGTGTAGAACTTCTGATTACTTTGTGAATGAAAAAAAAAGAAAAAAAGAGGTTTTTTCTGGATTTAGGGAAGCAGTCCCTTTGGTTAGTTCATACTTTGCACCAATAATAATTTATTTACACAATCCTTCAATGCATTGTTTCCTTTGGAATTATAGCTGCTGCCTTTAAAAATATATAAATTGCCTTCTTTCCTTTGGTTCATGTAGAACTTCTCATTAGTTTCTGAAGGAAAAAAAAACAGGGTTGGTTTATTTCCTTTGTTTCATGTATAACTTGTGATTAGTTTGTGAAGGAAAAAGAAAAAAGGAAAGATATTTTTCCTGGATTTAGTGAAGCAGTCCCTTTGGTTTGTTCAATTGAGAGCATGGGATTGAAAGAAACAAATTTCCTAATAATCCTGTTTAACCTAATAACCTCATTGCTATAATTGGAATACGAATGATTGAATCACATACCATTCAATTCTTATGCAACTATACATCTTATACATGGCACATTACCAATGCTTGGTACTGTGTACTAAAAAAAAGGAAGGTCAAGATGGCAATATCTTTTTTGTGATGAGAAAGATTTAGGTGGCATAAATGTAAAACAGTTTTGTTGTTGGATTTGTAAATCCCTAGGAATTGGGTGGTATGTATGTAAATATGTAATTTTAGATGGAATTTGGGTACATAAGTTTATCTGTGGAATGCATTTTTCATTGATAAATTTATGATACATAATTGTTATAGATGATTAGAAGTTCAACTATATTTGAGATAGTGTTATAAGTAAAATGTTCTGATTCATCACCAAAACCCCATCTGGCAAGTGGCTCCTCAGAAAAAAAAAAACAGGGTTGCAGTCCCTTTGGTAATTACGTTTTTGTCTTCTGGTTTGGTGGAGCCGGGCTTTTGAACTTGATTTCCTTGACATTGAAATTTCTTTATTTCTCATTCTCTGGTTTGATGGAGCCGGGCTTTTGAACTTGATTTCCTTGACATTGAAATTTCTTTATTTCTCATTCTCTGGTTTGATGGAGCCGGGCTTTTGAACTTGATTTCCTGTTTTGGTTGGGTTTGCTGAAGCTGAACCTACAGAAATCCATGTTGATGGCCAATTTGAACTTCATTTCCTTTTTTGCTTGATTTCCTGTTTTGCTTGGGTATGCACATGAACTTATATGGATTTAAATATGTTCATAAAATCCCAAATACATTACCAGGGATGCAAGGGTTTGTATCATAAATGATTTAAGGGACATTAGCATACATAGCACACAAGTCTTATGTATTTGCATATCTCATTCCTAAACTATTTACACAGATAGCACTCAAATCTTTATTGTCACGTAAAAAAAAATAGCACTATTATTACTTATTCAAAATTGAAATACACCTTTACATGCGTTGATTTAAAGCAACAAAGTGACATGTATATAAACATGAAAGTTTAGGCATGAGATATGTAAATACATAAGAATTGTGTCATACATATGTAAATTTCCCATGATTTAAATAGTGAACTCATGAAACCGTAATCTCTTTCATGAGATTCACAAAAATTTCAGTTAGCATTATAACTTAGATTACTTTATGTTTATGAAGCAAGATAATTTTTTTATTGGCATGCAATTTTTGCTTATGTTCAACAACCCCAGGTGTGTCAAAGATGTTGAACAAATTAAGTGTCGCGTAAGAAACCATAGATCTGAGAAGTCTATGGAGACGAATTATATTGAGTATAGATAAGTTGTTTAGGACAAACTTTGTGGTAAAAATGTCAATATTCTTTTGGGAAATTTATATACTTACCATATAATTCTTATTTATTTACATAACTAATGCCCAAAGTTTTACATTTACTCTTGTAACACCTTGCTGGCATAAACCTATGAATGAGGAAGATGTATTCACTATTAAAAATGTACTTATGGTGATATTTTTTACATGATTTTAGAGGTATGGGGGGCATGCATGTAGATATGAATGTTAAGTTGTTAAACATGTCAGATTTGTCATTTCTTTATTTATTAGGGGGTTTTATGTTTTACATCATTTCACTTTCTTGGCTATTCTGAAATGCTTTGGTTGAATATATTATGCTTTGGTTTGCTGAAGTCGAACCTTCACATGTTCAGCAGCCTTCCTGTGCTGCGTATGGATAATATTTATGAGGATTTAAATATTTTGGTATTGTTTGGTGGAGCTGCATTTTGAAAATGTTGAACCTTCAAAGTAGATGGGTATCCTTTTGGTTTGGTTTGTTGAAGCAGAACTTTCAAATTGATAGATTGGATATTTTTATAATTTGCTTTCATGGATCCTGATTTTTGGAAGTGTGATGGTTGCTTTGCTTGGCTTTACGGAAGCCGAAACTTCAGATATTCAGCAGCTGCCCTTTACTGTTTATTTATAATATTTCTATGCTTGGGTTTGCTGAAGTACGAATCCGAGGGGCGTGTTGGCAACTGCTACTACTGCATTTCTATGTATGAATGAAGGGGAAGGGAGAAATTTGCAAGTCATTATGTTTTTTTGATGCTTTTGGGAGGGTGTATTGTATGAATGAAAGCTTTGTATCTTCTTCTTTAATGCTATAATAAAGTTGTGGCCTCCTTTGCCGTGGATGTAGGTCATTTTGACCGAACCACGTAAACATTTGGTGTCCTTTTTTCATTTTTTTTACTTTCTTTAATCAATTTTTTAATCGAAAACTATATTGTTGTGTTTCATATCTTTGCTTCGTCGTAGTAGTAACATGGCTGGTAAGTCTAAAGAACATGGTTCACCGGCAATCTGGGAAAAGGAAATCAAATTGTTGTTCTGCGACCTCTGTATCAAAGAAATTGAGCTGGGCAATAGACCGACAACCTTTTTCAACAAAGAAGGTTGGAATAGTATCATTAAACATTTTAAAGACTCCACCGGACGGGAGTACGACAGGCTGCAAATGAAAAACAAATGGGATCAACTAAAGAAAGATTGGAAAATTTGGAAGGATCTAAAGCGTGGTTCAACTGGTTTGGGTTGGGATCCAATAAAGCGAACCATTGATGCTTCGGAAGAGTGGTGGGCAGAGAGGCTCGCGGTAAGTAAATTTTATTTTTCATAATTTGTGTAATATACTTCTCTTTCAGGACTGAACAAAATGATTTGGGTTTTTTGTTCCAGGTGGTTCCAGCAGCTAAAAAGTATAAAACATGTGGGATTGAACCTGAGTTGGAGGAGAAGTTAGACCAAATGTTCGGGGGTGTCGTTGCAACAGGGAAATATGCATGCGCTCCAAGCGAGACGGGATTTGGTGAAACACAGGACAATGTTGCTGTCAGTTTATCAGATGATTCACCTGAATTTCCAAGTGCAGGTCCAACTGAGATTCAATCTACGAATCGCTCTAAGCGATCTAGGTTCGAGAGCAAAAAAAAGGGTGGAGCTGCCACAATCAGAAACCAGATATCATGCCTAATGGATTCTTCCAATGATGCCCCCCATAAAGTACAGAAAACATCAATTAATGAGGTCGTGGCTATTCTAGAGCAGGATCCGAGTATTGCAGCGGATGATGAGCTATACTACTTCGCTGTTGAGCTGCTTCAAGATTCGGTGCAAAGAGATTTTTTCACAGCTATTGCCAAAGAGCGCAGGGTGTCGTATCTACGACATTTTTTTGAGTGCAAGAAAATTTGAATGGACTTTTTTTAGTTGCTACGTCCTTACTTTAATAGTTTATGAGAAGACATGGTTATTTGAACTGTTGTTTAATGAGACTTTTCAGTTTATTTTGTTTTCTACCCCGCCTCTACACTAAATGCTTGTGTTATTACTTGTCACATGTTAGATTATATAGGTCTGCTCCAAATGATGATTAGTTTAATACTCTATTTTTCTTTGTCAAAATATGTCCAGTATAAATCAGAATGGACCCAAACCAAGTACGTCGTAGAAGGAGAAACGCAGCTATCAACCTGCTCGTAGAGTACTACAACACATACATCGACCGTTCCCCCTGTTACACATCATCACAATTTGGAGACAAATGGGTAGCAGAAATGCTT